GGCCTTTTAGGTAAACACACCGAGGAGCAAACAACTGTGTTGTGTTTTCTGACAGATTGGATTCTGTTTTCTTGCACATTGTTATTGGTTTTTGAATATCATTTTCAAACAAACATTCGCTTTCATTGCAGTTTGTAAACAGAATTTCTGGTACTTTTCTTAGTGTCAATTTAAAATGCGGCTTGTGACTTGCATTGTGAAACCACAGACTGGGTAAACACGTACCATCGGATGTTGCGGTCTCCATACACTGTTCGCAGTGCTGCTCATCAGAGTTGTCAAGACAGTCTTGAACTCCATCGCATATGTGCTCACTCTTAACACACTTATCATGAGATTCATCCAAGGAGATGTCGCCTTTACAGAGGATCCCTTGTTCGCACGGTACGTTGCGTGCGTGTATGCACATGCGTTCATCTTCACCGTGATAGCAGTCCGGTCTACCATCACAAACAAACGTGAAAGGAATTTTCGGCACGGCAATATCATTGAACAATATATTATGTTCCTGGCAATCAAAAAGTCCTACATTTTCTAGCTCTTCAAAGTAAATAACGTATGGCTCGTCTTTTCTGAGGATTAAAAAAAATAAAAATAAATTAATTTTTGGCTTTGTTTTAGTTGTATTATGTGTTCTACATACACCTAAAATAATCTCTTTTAAATTAAAATAAAACTAAATTAAAATAAAGCTAAAACATGCATGCTTGTCAGAGATCGCTCACTGACTGAAGAAAGGGAATGTAGGGCTATATAATCGGGGCAAATGGAATGTTCGAGAGGGCCGCCTAGATGAATGTAAGGGGAAGCTTTGTGTGTTGACTGTTAGAAATTGAAATGTATCCAGTATTATTCCTTTAATATTATTTTTTTTAATCACTCACTATAAGTATAAGTGCTATATCAAACGGTGAATGTTTGATTAATGAAATTAACTGTATTCATTGTGGATTTAACTATTGTAAATAAAGTTGTGAAATGAACCCACAGTTTATCGTATGTCTTTAAAGAAAGAAAATCTCACAATAATTACTAGTTGCCACGATAACAACAGATTGCTACAAACAATATGGCCTTTCTTTCGACAGCACAATAAAACAAATAGATACTTACATTATTTTATTGAGACTTTCCGAGTGTCGTTTTTTCAACTCATCTACTTGTATCAGCCATGTCATGTCTGTTTCACACAGATAAAACTGTGTCGCCAAGTGTCCTGCATCTACCACGGCCCAGTTGACTGTGTATTCTAATCCCTGAGACTGACTGGTCTTGTTAAAACTTAACCCGGCACAGAATTTCTGGTTCATGGTTGTCTCCCCTAAGCTGGGCTCTGAATTTAGTTTTTTATCCAGCCACACAACGCTGTTGTGTTTGTCATAGGGTTCGTTGTCACAGATCCCAATATGAATAAATATTAAAACTTCGTTTCTGTAACGATTTTTAAAAATTAACGACGCTTCGTTTTTTAATAGATCGAATTCATCATCAGAACCCAATGTTAATAATTTTGATTTTAGTCGACCACATTGTTCACTGGCTCCTTGGAAGTCTAACAGTGGATTTGTTTTCTCAAATTTGTAGCATGAAAGCAATCGCCTCCTGTTTTTATTTTGAAGCAAAAACCACCCTTCTGCACATTTACCACACAGACCCATAGATATGTAGTTGTTAGTAGAAAAATCATCTGTTTCCAAAAATGAGTAAAGCATTTCTTCTTCCCAAACAATAATTTTCTTGATAAAAATTAAATACATAAGGTAATTTGATTGAAACCACGGTTTTACTATAATTCCTGTTACAGAAGACAAATATCGACTTAAAACCACTATACCTTTTCTAGTAGTGGAACTATTGTTTGTTTGTCTATGAAAATAATTATGTATTATATCCATTGGTAGTTGCCTGACAAAAACATTATTTAACTTAAGCTCATCTATTTTACCAAAAAGTTCAGATGTGCTATTGTAATCATTGAAGTCAATTACGACATTTAAGCTTTGTTTATTCCCTGGGATGGCAATTGCAAATTTCGCCTTCAGTGTTTTGTTTATGGATCCAGGTATAAACAAGCGGATTAAATTTTGTAAGCGAGTCCTATCTAGGTGGGTTCTTATTTCAGAGTATAACATGAGGTCGATCTCAGTGTCTTGGCAGTCTTGTACAGGAAATACATTTGGGTCATCGAAATCTGAAATATATATATATATATATATATATATATATATATATATATATATATATATATATATATATATATATATATATATATATATATGAGTATAAATTTTACCTTTTCGAAACCGACAGACCATTGGGAAAATGAAGTAGAGTTCAACTGTTTCTGTGACCTCGGAGTATGAAGGGATAGTGTAGTCAGCACTATCCCCCGCATTTACTATCCTTAACGTGAGTTGGGTACCTACCAGAGCTGGGAGGACTTAGGGACATTCAACTGACTTGAACGCAAATTCAAACTATATTGACATAAATGTACACACACATAGGGTGTGTTGCTCATCTTCACACGTGTCGTTTATGTTGACGCGTTTTTTTTTTTATGGTTAGAAAAAGAATTATTGTTTCTGGCACACACAAAAACTTACCTAAATCCGAAATAAAAGTATTAAAAGCCACTGTGGATGTAACCAACATCAAAATGCTTAACCGAAAATACATTATCTTTTTATTTGATTTAGTGTATCTGTGTGAATTTTAGAAATTATTTTTAGAATATATATATATATATATATATATATATATATATATATATATATATATATATATATATATATATATATATATATATATATATATATATATCCATTTATACTTTTTATGAAAAAAATATGTACAGCTCTGCTGTATGTTAAGAAGTCCACGGTACAAATAGATTTGATAAACCAAGTTTTGACTCTAACTGAAGTATTACATTTCCTATTGTAATTAATTTAGCGAGAATGAAATTAACGTTTTAGTCGGAACATAATGTATGGGGTCGTTATCGTCAACACGTTGCTTGTAATTAAAAGTTAATTAACTAAGAATAATAAACATTGAAGTAAATCTATTTTGTTATCGACGGAGTATTTCTATAACCGATTATTTTATATTGATTGGTATTTATTTTTCAAAAAAAATCTGTGTCATAAACGTTTTCAATTTAAATTCACCTTTGTTATGAAAAACGTTTTTTCTCAATTTCTTTTTCACCAGCCTGAGTAGGCCTCCCGAATAAACATAAAATTTAAAATATGCTGAAGTGCTTTTTTTAGCGAAAGGTCTTAGCAGTTTTCCGTAAAATGAAGCCGAAGAGTTTCTATACAGTTTAGGTGATAATTATGATTAACATTTTCAGTTATGCCCGGGAATGGAAGGAGGTTAACGTTCAGGCGTATATTCATGAAGGAGTAATGTATATTTTGCTATATTCAGGAGAGAGGTAGTAGTTAGTATAGTATTTCAAAAGGTGAGTAATATCTAAGTGGTGGGACTAGGTTTATTATGTACGTCCGCAATCATTCACGTGGATCCAGCGTAGACCGAGATTAAATTTGTGGTGAAATGAAATACGGATGATTTTGTATGGTTATTTTTTTTACCACAACAGATCGGATATTAGCCTAGTTTCAATTTTCGTCTTTTCAAACAAAAAGAGCTGGATTTACATAAATTATAATGATCAATTTCTTTTCGATATGCAAAAAAGTATTAAAATATTTTTTTTTAAATAACCAGAAATATATATATATATATTAAAATTATCTTTTAATCTATAAAGTTTGTTACACATTTTTCAAATTCACTTCTTCCCTCCCCTCATCTACTTTCTTCCTTTTCAAACTGTTACCTCATAAAACCATTGCATTCAATAAAAAGTATTGTGTTGCTACAACTAATATTTTAAACTGTACTTTCATTTATTATAGCTACTTTGTTATTGCTGTATTGTAGACACACATATTTAAAGTTGTTGAGAGATGATTTTTTTCTGAATTTAGCTTAGCTCTACAATCATTTTGTAAAAGGCAAACTTTAAAAATTTAGTTTTCTTGATAACATAAATAAAACAAAGACAACATGCTAGCATTTGTTGCAAAGCAACTCATGTTTATTAAAAGAAAATGAAAAACACACAACTAATTAGATTGTCTAACGTTACCCAAAGTTAAATAGTATACTACTACATTTTTTATTTTATTTAACCAAAATATAGGATCTAGATTCAAAACTTTAAAAACAATTTTGACTGATTTCTATTTTATTTACAAATTGTGTGTTTTTTAAAACAAATGTAAGGTATAGAAGTATAAAATGTAATATTAAGTAAACAAAACCAAAATAAAATAAAAAAAAACACAAATCTATGCATGGTATCTATGAGTCTAAGTAAAAATGTATGCAACCACAATTTGTATTTTATTTACCAAAAAAATATTCTTTCCTAAAAGCCAAATGTTTTTCAATTTTTTTAAATATTTCTATTATAATTTTAAAAAATGCCAATGAAAATAGATGTAAGGTATACAAATATAAATTGTATTAAGTTAACACAACATAATTATCTATATACATTTTTATGTATTTTAATTAAGTTGTTTTTCCCCAATGTTAAAATGGTTGGTTACCTAATATTTCTTAGTTGTTTTCATTTTCGATCCTCTTCACTAATAAATATTTTTAAATCATCATAAAATTGAACGAAAATGGTATTACCTATTTTCGAAAAAAATTGCATATTTGTAATGCAATAAGTTTTAAAATAATTTAATAAACTGAACTATGGTAAAAAAAAAATAGCATAAAGTGGATTTAACAAGGTAAAAAATTTATAGTACAGATTATTACATTTCACAATTTTCAGTAATTCATTTCATTTATAAATAAATAATACACTGATATAACGTAAATAAAATATATATATATATATATATATATATATATATATATATATATATATATATATATATATATATATATATATATATATATAATGTTGGATTAAAATTTCCCTAAAAAACAATCAATACAAGCATTACATATGTTAATTCAGTGCTAAGCAAATTATTTTATAAGCCAACATAAATTTTATTTTCCCCAATTTTCTTTTTGATACAGCAGTAAGTAACTATACCAATACAGGCACAAGCTAAAGTAAAGAGAGATAATCCAATTGAAAGTCCCAGAGTTATCTGTAGATCATCTGTGGAGGATATTTGAGTGTTTAGTAATGTAAAATCAATGTCAAAAATAAAACCTTCAACTTAAAAACAATTTAAGAATTTTTCTTTTTTTAACTTAAAATAATTGTAACATACCTTTTGTATTTATGCTGAAAATAGATCAGAAAAATGTGTTATAAAATGATATTTCTGTAAATTATTGGCTAATAAATGAAAATTTTAAAATTGAAGGAAAAGAAGAAACACGAATATTAAACTTCTAAATGAATAAGAATAATCAGGTACTTACACACAAACTGTTGTTCCATCCACCTCTACACACTCTTCATTAGTTTTACATGGATTGTTCTTTTGTCTTACTGTACAGGTTGCAGCAGAAACTAAATTAATATAATAATACTGTGTTAGATAAATTATACCAATAAGACAATAATTGCAATATATATAAAATTGTAAAGTATGCCTATAAAGTTTTGTATATGTTATCACATTGTTGGTTGTTGCACATTAGATGTAACATTGGGCACATTCATATAACTTATTTAAATGATATTAATACAATTTTGAAATTATGCACTCTATGTCATTTATATTGTACATCTTGATTTGATTCTATGAACTTAAATAAATGTAATTGACAGTATAATTTTATCGAAAAAGACCAATATTTTTATCTCCTATGTGTTTTTTAAAATATCCGTAGATATATTCATTGATTCAGTTGTCAATTATTTAAGTATTTTTTCCTATTTTTTTGCCAAATCTAAAAAAACCAAGAAATTAATATGATTTTTTATTTATTTCTCAATGACTTACATAACTGGCTTTCAATATAACTGATTTATTTACCTGGCTTGTTATTGATGTTCAAGTTTAGGATCAATACGGTTGAGTTGTTTAGTGTTAGCCCTTGTGCCATAATTAACTGTATTGCATCAATCAGTGCTTGAGATGGGGAACTCTGTAGAATCTGATCTATGAGGATTTCCAGGTCAGCTATAAGACTGCCTTTACTGCAGAAACATCAAGAATGTTTAGATGATACAGAAGTGCAATAAAACTACATTTTGATTTCAAATGTTTTCATTTTACTTATCTCTGATTTGACTAATTAACTAATCATCAAATTATTTCAATTAAGTTAAGATATTATTGCAACAAAAAATGAATAAAATGTGTATAGATTACTTGAATTATATTACAAATAGCTCAAAAACTTTTAACAACTTTACACTTTAACTATGGTATGGAGATATATAACACTTGACATACACACCTGAGATTTTTACAGTTAACTTTTACCACGGGTAATTTTTTAGCTTTCAGTTCCTTAAACATCTGTTAAAAAAATATAGGCAATTTAGGCTGTTTAGGCTTTAAAAAACACATAACTAGAAACATATAGGAAATTAATTACTGTAGTATCAAATACATCAGATTTCCGTTTATGAATTAAAGGTAAGGCTTCAATCAAGCCCCGGTTAAGTTAGGCAACTGCCATTCTTCAAATCAATGTATGGTAGCATCCTAGTTTCATGAAAGAATTGTTATATTTAATTTAAATAAATTTTATTTTAAGTATAAATTTTAATAATGTTTAAAAGGAAGACGCCATTCTTTAAAATAGGTGTTGAGAAAATTTGTTTACTTGATCTTCTACTTCCACTTTTGTCTTGATATAATCATCACTGTTTTTGTCTTCCAAGTTCAATTTAGCAACATCAATGTTGAAGGTAATCTTCATGTCTTGAGTGGAGACAACTGCAAATGATAAAAGCAAAAAGTGTTAACTTTTCGTGTAATAAAAAGGTTTATACAAGGAATTTCATTTCTTAAATTTCAGCATGTCTAGAAGTTACAAAAGTAAATTTTCTTTAATATTTATTTAAAAACAAACATGAAATTAAATATAGAATACATTTTAATTTTATTTATTGCGAATTGGAGAAAAAATCAATCCTTTTTTTTCTTTTTAAAAAAAATTACCATGGCAAGCTGAAGAGTTTGTTTGGCTTATGGTGTAGCCATCTTGACAAGAACATTCAAAGCTGCCGTTTGAATTCGTACAATTCTGCTCACAAGGCTTTACCAATGATGCACACTCGTCTACATCTGAAGTTAAGATTATTAATACAGGTTATATATTTTATATAAAAGATTTACATATTTTGTAAGAGAAAATAAATGTAAATAATTTTTTTTTTACCTTCACAGCTACAAGCGTTACATTTCCTCTCATAACCTTTGTCACACGCACATGTGTACACAGTGTCTGTTTTCTTACAATATTCATGCTGGCTTGTGTTGCAAATGCAGTGTTGTGAACAGTTGGTGCCAAAATAAAACTCATCACATGCTGATTAATTAAACAAAAATATTTACAATATAATGTACAAAAATTAATACAATAAATTTGATTCCCAAAAGAATTCAAACTTAGATTTTGTTTATACCTTCACAATTCTGACTTGTTGAATTTTTCCTATAGAAGCCATCATCACACAAACAATCAAAGCTTCCTTCAGTGTTGCTACAATGAGAATGGGATGGACAGTTGGTTGTGTTCTGGAGACATTCATCAACATCTTTGTCACAATTAGTTCCACTCCATCCACTTTTACACTGGCAAGTACCAGAGACTTTATCACATGTTGATGTCCCCAACACAGAACAGCTGCAGTTGTTGCTACATTCAGTACCCCAGCTGCCCTCTACACATGCTGGACAAGACATAAAACAGATTTTTTATTTTTACGTTGCCATATTATTACATAAATTATTATACAGTAAAAAAATTAAAACTTTTTAAAATAAGTCCTATTTTTAATAGTATATTATTACACTTTTATTGGGATGTACTCAAAATTGCTTTTAGGAAACCTATAAAACAAGTTTCAATTTAAAAACAAAAAGAAGATTAATAATTACATCTGAATAATTATAGTAAAGACTGCTTTACTGAGCAACTGAATAATACCAATTTTTTTATGTTGTTAAGTCTCTTGTAAAGAGAAAATGCCAAAATTCTTATATACATTATTACTGAAGATTTAATTAGAAATATATAAACATATTACAAAGTTGATATTTGGAAATTTGGAAAAGTGCTAACATAAAAAATATAATAATTGTATTTTTCATTTAAGAATAAACACATTTCTCAAAATAAAACAATATAAAAGTGGCAACACAATGATTTCTGTTTAATCCTAATGGTTTTTAATATTTGTTCTAATGATAAACAAATGTTATAAAGTATTTCTAACAAAATGCATTAAATGGAAATATATGAAATCCTAGATGGATAAATGAGAAAATTGAAGATTTAGTTGTAAAAAAAAGTTAATTTGTACATTATGAGTACTTAAATATTTTGTTAAAAAAAGAATACTGGCAAATAAAAATCTTACCTTCACAATTTGTAATGCTCTGAAAGAATCCATCATCACAAGGACAAAGAAATCCGCCTTCAGTATTGTTACAATGAGAATGGGATGGACATATATTTGTGTTCTGGAGACATTCATCAACATCTTTGTCACAATCAGTTCCACTCCATCCACTTTTACACTGGCATGTACCAGAGACTTTATCACATGTTGATGTCCCCAACACAGAACAGCTGCAGGTATTGTTACATTCAGTGCCCCAGCTGCCCTCTACACATGCTTGACAAGACATAAAACAGATTCTTTATTTTTACATTGCCATTTTATTACATAAATTATTACACAGTAAAAAAAAATTAAAACTTGTTAAAATAAGTCCTATTTTTAACAGTATATGATCACATTTTTATTGGGATGTACTGTACTCAAGACATTTTGTGAAACCCATGAAATAAGTTTCAATTTAAAAACAAAAAGAAGATTAATAATTACTTCTAAATAAATATGGTAAAGACTGCTCAACTAAACAAATGAATGATACCAATGTTTTTAAGTGTTAAGTCTCTTGTAAAAATAAAATGCCAAAAATTCTTTACATTATTACTAAAGATTTAATTATATATGTATAAAGCATATTACAAAGTTGATATTTTGAAATTTGCAAAAGCACTAACATATAATATAATTATAATTGTATTTTTCATTTAAAAATAAACACATTTCTCAAAACAAAACAGTATAAAACTGGGAACAAAACAATTTCTGTTTAATCCTATTGGTTTTAAATTTTTATTCTTATAATTAAATATTTCTAACAAAGCAAAATAAGTGGCAATATATGAAATCCTAGTAAAAAATGTTAATTTGTCCATTATGATTACTTGAAACATTTCTTTTAATAAGGAACACTAGCAAATAAAATCTTACCTTCACAATTTGTAATGCTCTGAAAGAATCCATCATCACAAGGACAAAGAAATCCGCCTTCAGTATTGTTACAATGAGAATGGGATGGACATATATTTGTGTTCTGGAGACATTCATCAACATCTTTGTCACAATCAATTCCACTCCATCCACTTTTACACTGGCATGTACCAGAGACTTTATCACATGTTGATGTCCCCAACACAGAACAGCTGCAGGTATTGTTACATTCAGTGCCCCAGCTCCCCTCTACACAAGCTAAAATAATAATAAAAATATTTATCTATTTAACTAAGCATTGTAAACTGTATTCTTTAAGATTTCTGTATTGCAAGACAGAACAGTCTATATAACCAGGATCCACAACCACAATATTGCACAGGCAACTATTAGTTATATTAAGGAAGATCTGTTTACATTATCTTTTTCATGTACTAAAACTTTGTTTTACCAACTATTTGGAGCTTAAATAATGAATAAAATTAAAATTTAATTTAATGAGTTAAAACTTTGATCACTAATTTGTTTCATGCAATTTTTTATAAAACTTACAAACATAAAATTCTAGTATTTTATTATTTAAATTTATTGTGTAAGTATAGCCTTTAATATATATCGTTAAAAAATTAAAGGAAAAATGTTACCACCTAAAATAGTTTCAACTCTACTTTATAAATGAAAACTAGATATTTAAAATACTAATATGTAAAGTTGTTTTTTTACCAATGCAAGTCTCCCCATCTGTGTCCATCTTCTGTCCAGCTGGACAAACACATTTAGTGCTAGTGTTTTCATTAGTTTCTATACACCCAAAAGTACATGTGTTGTTTACACATAGATCGATATCTATAGGAAAAATAGAGTTTTTTTTGTATGGTTTTTGCATAGGTCAACAGGGCTTGATCAATTATAAACATTGTGATTAATATTGTACAAATCAAAAATACATTTTACTTAATAGAAATGTAATAAAATTACATTATGCTTTGGTTTAACATTTATTTCAACATAGTTTCGTTATGCTAAAAATATTTGACAAAAATGCATGGTATGTTTCGATAAATTATGATAAATCCTCTCTAAAATACACTGAAAGATAATAAAACACATTATACCCAAACAAGTAAATTTGTCAGCACTCAATACCATTCCTATTGGACAAACACATTCAATACTTGTGTTATCAAACGTTTCAGCACACCCAAATATGCAAGTAGAATCAGAACAGAGATCTTCATCTGTTTGGATTTAAAAATAAACTTTTGAGATTTTATGTAATTTATTCTAACAGTGCAAAAACACTACAAATGTTTATTATTCTTATTCTGTTACTTAAATATAATGGCCTATTTCAGGGAAATTTGGTACAAAATCTCATTTTTCTTTCAAAATATTTTAAAATTAAATATTTTATATTGAGTTAGTGTAATAAAAGACAAACAGTAAAATAATTTATTTGCATATAAAATAAGGAAAAAAAGCAATTTCCCAAGAAATTTTGATAGTATTTACCCAACTTTCAACTAATCAAAATAATAAGATACATATGTTACAGTTGAAAAATATGAAGTTTTAAAAAATCTACCATCACAATTGAGACCATCAGCTGCTAAAGTTGTTCCTTTAGGACACAAGCAAGTCTCTGTATCATTGATGGTAGCACACTGGTAGCTACATGTGGTTTTGGTGGTGCATGGTATTGTGGCTGATGTGATGTATGACAGAAAAAAACTACATTATAATATTTTTACATAATTACTTCAACAGTTATTAAAATAATAATTTATTATTAGTATTAAAAATTAAAAATACTGTCATTCTTACACCATATTGTTTTGAACAATTAGTGAATACAATTTTTAAAAATATTTAAAAATGGATTATAGAACAAAACTATTTTTAGTTATTCAGTATTAATTAAAAAGCAGATATATTAACCATAAGTTATATCAAATTTCAATCAATCTAAAACATAGTATCTAAAAGTTTTACCAATGAAAACAAATTCTGATTGAAAAGTTCCATACCAAAATAATTAAATTAGTTTTTAATTGCAAGACTAACCTCTACAAGTAAAACCATCAGGCAACAGCTTGAGATCAGCTGAACATGAACATCTGTAACTTCCTGCAGTGTTTGCACAAATCTGTTCACATCTGGCTGTCCCCACTTCACATTCATTTATATCTAGAAAAGAACAAAGGGAAATCAGTACACAATGTAATAACAAAGGTTAGAAATACACGTTTATAATCCTTTTTATAAAACTAGCATATTTTTATTTTAGTGAAAAAAAAAGCCTTTTTGAACTTTCAGTTGGCTATCCCAAAAACATCAACATTTAGAACTAGGAGTTATTAAAGTGAATATTTCATACCCATACATTTTTATTTCAAACATTCAAAACAGCATTTTTAATTGGCCCTATAGCCAACAAACTGTTTTTATAAATATATTCTAAATTCATTTAAACAGAATATTTTATTTCTACTTACTGTTACATCAAACACACACAATTTAGATATGCTTTACCAAAGTTATAAAATGTTTACTACTGTTCTAACCTGAACAAGTGTTGTCTGTGATGTTATATGTGAAACCAAGATAGCAGGAGCAGCTGTAGCCTCCAACTGTATTTTCACACAGTTGAGTGCACTTGTTGGTTGTAGGACTAGAACATTCATTCACATCTGAAAACCAACCCTGATTACTATAGGAAACTTACAATGAAAGTCTTTAATATTTTAGAAAAAAGTTTTCTGGGTGCAATCATTTGCATAACTACATTTGGGAGAGGATAGCGTTGTGAGAAGAGCATTAGAATGGTGTCCCAAGGGGCAGAGGAAAGTACACCAGTCAATGAAATCCTGGAGAAGGAGAGTAGAAGATGTGACAAGGGCTGAGGGGATTACTTGGGTGCTAATAAAGAGAGTTGCTAAAGACCCAGTCCAATGGTGAAGTGTAGATGCAGCATTTTGTTCCTCAGGGGTCACAAAGGATTAAGTCAAGTAAATCATAACTACACACACCAAAAATTTGAAAAAAATACTTAACGGAAAAACTATAATAATAGTTAAATTAATCTTTAATTTAAATTAATCACTAGCATAACGTCACCTTCGCACGCTCCATTATTTCTTGTGAAACCAGTCTGGCAATCACAGGTGTATGACCCAGGTACATTTCTACATGTCTCACTGCTGCTACATTTGTGTGGATCTTCACTGCATTCATCAATGTCTACACTGCAAATTGCTCCTGATATTGTTAAACAAAAATACACTTTATCAATCAAAATTCTGGCCGATTTTATAACCACCAACAGAAAATGTATGCTTAACCTTGTGTATGTAACAAGTGAATAATACATTTGTGTGGATTTTCATTGCATTCTTCAATGTCCCCAATGCGTATTGTTCTTGATATAGTTATGCACAAATACAATTTATCAATTAAAAATCTGGCCAATTTACAACCACCAACAGAACAGTAAATAATTTACTGTTCTGTTGGTGGTTGTAAATTGGCCAGAATTATTCTTTTCTTTAACTCTGTGGGCATTTAACAAGTGAATAATGCAAAAAAAATGTTACAGTCTATCTCACCAGTGTATCCAGATTTACAAACACATCCAGTTGCTGGATCACAGTGATCGGCCCCTTGACCACACCCACATGTTTGATTACACTGAACACCCCATGTTTCGCCACTACAAGCTGAAGAAAGAAGGCATTTTAGTTATCTTGTTTTGTGATTGCTTTTGTGTTATAAAAATATTATAATTACATAATGAATATAATATAATATATACATAAATACATATATATAAATATATATCGATGGTCTCGGTCGCAAACCGTCTAACTCCGAAAATGTAAATTTTACAGGAGAGACAAAAAACTGATTATTTCCTTCTCGATCGCTCTAATACAAATATTTTTTAAAGATATCTCCGAAGAAACTCTCTACCGACTATACTGTAGCGTTTTAAAATGGGTTTTGTTGATATTTCCAACAATATAGCAGGTTTAAAAAGATAGACGGTTTGCTCGGTCTAAAATTCTCGGTGCAAGCCGTCTATCTTTGCGCGCGCAGACTTAGCTGTTTTGAGCCGAGAATTTCGGTCTCAGCCGCGTTCGTTCGTTTTGTCCGATGAACGTGATTTAGTTATTTTTATGTTTTTAAGTTATAATTAACACTTCATAATATTTAGTTGATAGTTTTGGGCTCATGTTTTAATTATTTGAGTTTATTCTGCATTATGGGGTCAGTTTAATTTTTAATAGAGATGTTTTAGTATGGCTTTATCGCTTTCAAGTGTATTCATTATGTCTGTATTTAGAAATAGACTTGTTAACTGTTGAAGCTTATGCTTTATTTATCTTTCTATTCTCACAGTTTATTTTACTAAATCTGGTGGGTGCTGGGTTTGTAGGATGATAATAGTAAAAACAGAAACTGTATTGTCAGATATATTATGACCATATGAGAGAGGCTGATATGTCAAGAGAGGCTGTCTGTTGAGAGAGGCTGATCTGTTGAGAGAGGATGATCTGTTGAGAGAGGCTGGTCTGTTGAGAGAGGCTGGTATGTCAAGAGAGGCTGTCTGTTGAGAGAGACTGATCTGTTGAGAGAGGCTGGTCTGTTGAGAGAGGCTGGTCTGTTGATTGAAACTCGTCTGTTGAGAGAGGCTGGTCTGTTGAGAGAGGCTGGTATGTTGAGAGAGGCTGGTCTGTTGAGAGAGGCTGATATGTCAAGAGAGGCTGTCTGTTGAGAGAGGCTGATCTGTTGAGAGAGGCTGGTCTGTTGATAGAAACTCGTCTGTTGAGAGAGGCTGGTCTGTTGAGAGAGGTTGGTCTGTTGAGAGAGGCTGGTCTGTTGAGAGAGGCTGGTCTGTTGAGAGAGGCTGGTATGTTGAGAGAGGCTGATCTGTTAAGAGAGGCTGGTCTGTTGAGAGAAGCTGGTATGTTGAGAGAGGCTGTTCTGTCGAGTGTGGCTGGTATGTTGAGAGAGGCTAGTATGTTGAGAGAGGCTGGTCTGTTAAGAGAGGCTGATCTGTTAAGAGAGGCTGGTCTGTTGAGAGAGGCTGGTCTGTCGAGTGTGGCTGGTATGTTGAGAGAGGCTGGTATGTTGAGAGGCTGGTCTGTTGAGAGAGGCTGATATGTTGAGAGGCTGGTCTGTTGAGAGAGGCTGGTCTGTTGTGTTGAGAGAGGCTGGTCTGTTTCGTTGAGAGAGGCTGGTCTGTTGTGTTGAGAGAGGCTGGTCTGTTGAGAGAGGCTGATATGTCAAGAGAGGCTGTCTGTTGAGAGAGACTGATCTGTTGAGAGAGGCTGGTCTGTTGAGAGAGGCTGGTCTGTTGATTGAAACTCGTCTGTTGAGAGAGGCTGGTCTGTTGAGAGAGGCTGGTCTGTTGAGAGAGGCTGGTCTGTTGAGAGAGGCTGGTCTGTTGAGAGAGGCTGATCTGTTAAGAGAGGCTGATCTGTTGAGAGAAGCTGGTCTGTTGAGAGAGGCTGGTATGTTGAGAGAGGCTGGTCTGTTGAGAGAGGCTGATATGTCAAGAGAGGCTGTCTGTTGAGAGAGGCTGGTCTGTTCAGAGAGGCTGATATGTTGAGAGGCTGGTCTGTTGAGAGAGGCTGGTCTGTTGAGAGAGGCTGGTCTGTTGTGTTTAGAGAGGCTGGTCTGTTGTGTTGAGAGAGGCTGGTCTGTTGAGAGAGGCTGGTCTGTTGAGAGAGGCTGGTCTGTTGAGAGAGGCTGGTCTGTTGAGAGAGGCTGGTATGTTGAGAGGCTGGGCTGTTGAGAGAGGCTGGTCTGTTGTGTTTAGAGAAGCTGGTCTGTTGTGTTGAGAGAGGCTGGTCTGTTGAGAGAGGCTGATATTTTGAGAGGCTGGTCTGTTGAGAGAGGCTGGTCTGTTGTGTTGAGAGAGGCTGGTCTGTTGTGTTGAGAGAGGCTGGTCTGTTGAGAGAGGCTGGTCTGTTGAGAGAGGCTGGTCTGTTATGTGGTAAGACTGGTCTGTTGTGAGAGGCTGGTATGCTGAGAGAGGCTGGTATGTTGAGAGAGGCTGGTATGTTGAGAGAGCGTGGTGTGTTGAGATAGGCTTGTCTGTTGAAAAATTAATCATAAAAGCATCTACTAAAGACAACTAACCATGCCGTTGAACATGTACGCCAAACACTTTGTAACCTACCATATAAACATTTCTTATCACGTATCTAAACCCTCAATCTAAAGCTAGTAGTGAATTAACAATTATTAAATTTATTGCACATTAGTGTGGAAATATAATTCGAATTATATTGTTTTGATTGATATTTAGATTATAGAATGAAGATCTAGTTTCAAAGCATTGTGTTAGCCTAAAAATTGTAAACAAATCAGTTTGGTTATTGAAAATCTGGAAATAGGCTATATTAAACAAATACTATTTGTTTATTATTCTTTAAAATGATAAAATGTAATAGAATAGTTGAACATAATTAATCAAATATCCTTACCTATAAGTACTGTGACGGCTGTGCTGTAAAATTGTGTGATTACGGCGTGCGACTGCGTTCCCGATCAAAAGTGTACTGACAAATATAGCGATATTCGTTTTGCGCCGAGATTTTTAGCGCTAGAAATAATAGGCGGTTTGTTCAAATGATTATATCTCAATAATCATTCTACAGATTTCTCTAATATTTTCAGGCATTATGGGGAATCATATTGGCTTTTGATTTATGTAAAAAAAAGAAAATCGAATTTTTTTGAGTTAGACGGTTTGCGACCGAGACCATCGATATATATGTATATATATATAGATAAATATATATATATATATATATATATATATATATATATATATATATATATATATATATATATATATATATATATATATATATATATATATATATATATATATATATACATACATATATATATATATATATATATACATATATATTTATATATATATATACATATAAATATATATATATACATATATATTTATATATATATATACATATATATATATACATATATATACATATATATATATATACATATATATACATATATATATATACATATATATACATATATATATATATATTGTATATATATATGTATATATATATATATATATTTATATATATATATATACATATATATATATATACAATATTTGTGTATTTTATTTTGGAAACAGCCTTCATAAAATTGAAAATAGTATTAACCATCACAAGTTGGTATTAATATGTTGTTTTAGTTGAAAATATTAAAAACAATTACCTATACAAGAGCGGCCATCATTGTCCAGTTTGGACCCAGCTGGACATGAACATGTGTAGCTGCCATCAGTGTTGACACAGTTGCTTTTAATGGTGCAGTCATTATCAGTGTCTGACAGGCATTCATTGATATCTGACAAATGTCAAGAAAATTTTTTTAGTCAGTTTGTCTCTTGAATATAAAACTTAATTTTTACAGAAATGTATTAATTTCTTATTTCAGCCTACATTTGGTTTTATTGCTATTTATTTTAATAAAGTAAATCGCCACATGTTATGTTAAATCAAGTTTAATAAATAGTGTTTAATGAACAACAGTTTCTAACTGCACATACCTGCACAGAGCTCAGTGTCTTTCAGTAGAAAACCTCTTGGGCAATAGCAAGTGGCCACATTATCAGCATCAACACCACACCCGTAGCTGCAGTTGATCTTTTGACCAACACAAGGGTCTTTCACTGTTTGTTAAGACACCATGTCAATATGTTTCATCGCACATAAATTTACTTTAATTAACAGAAGTGTTTAGACAATACAATACATAACATTATTTCAATTTCTAAATTTGTTTACGGTAAAAACAAAGAAAGCTTTACTCGCACTGCCACTGCATTTTAATCGTCTACATGTATGTTTGTGTTTATTTATATATCTGTATATATATAATTCTCTTCTGGGAGCCGCTAGAAAACAAGCTGCAAACGCGCTCCCTACCGTCCCCACCCCTACATGGTCTGGTGAGTTGTGGTTCACTCTTTATGTTTACAAACATTACAAACACAGCCGGGTTTAGTGACGACTATAAGCCGCAGATAATTTAGTTTGAAACGATTTTAAACGTAGGGGGGGGGGGGGGGGGGGGGGTAACTAAGTGGAGTTTACTTTAACGGAGGGGTGGGGGTGAAGGAGGGGGGGGGGGGTTATCGTCCTTATCGAGCTACTTATAGTGTTTTAAAGAAATATTTTCAGTGGCAGCGTTGGTAGTGTCGAATTCACAAAATTCACAAATTATGAATAACTGAAAAGTAGAAAAAAACAACAACTAAATAGCGGCGTATGATATGCCGCGGGTCGGCTCGTATATATTATTTAGAAACGTTTGTTTAAATACAGTTATTTAAATAGCGTACATTTTAGAATAACATTATTTATTAAATTAAAAAAAGCACAAAACAGAGGAATTACTAAGGAAATATTCTTAACTATCCTGATTTGCCTATTACAATAGCATTTTATAAAATTAACAACCAAATGTGCTCCAACATTCTGTCTAATATTTAATCTAGCACTGAGAAAAAAAAATTCTCTATAAAAAGCTTACCAACGAAAACAACTGTTCAGTATAGACACATTTATTTTTCATATTATTCTTTCTCAAAGATAATTTTTAAAAATAACCTCATTTACTGAACAACACAGTAAGTAAACTTCCCTTTTTTGAATGACGGTGCATGGGGCAAGTGAAGTAGAGTTCACCTGTTTCTGTGACCTTGGGGAATATAGGGATAGTGTGGTCATTGACTTTCGCTAATGTAAGTCAGATACCCATCAGAGCTGAGTGGACCCATGGATGTTATACTGACTTGAACCCAGATTTAAACACAAGATTTTTGGGTTAGCAGTCTAGCGCTCTACCACTATTCCACACCATCCCCTATGGAACAACGCAGGTTAAGCACAAACCTTTGACACAGGTCCACCTGTCATCAGAGAGATAAAAACCTTGTTGACACAAACAGTTGTAGGAGCCAGGCTTGTTGTCACATATCTGTTCACATTTGTCTACTTTCTTTTCACATTCATTTATATCTGTAAGACAAAAATATGTGATATATTATAAATCATTAAAATTATTCTTACAGCTAAAAAACGATAATAAAATACAAGTAGTTATCAAATTTTTAGTTTATTAAAATTATAGTAGGCTTTTTCAACATTTAGTAATTAAAAATATGTAGGCCTACTTAATAGTATTTAGAAAATAAAGTACATATGAATCAATAATGTATTAAAATTATGTTATGGCTGTAACATTCATAATAAGTGGAAATGTAAGATGCAAAAGATTAATAATTAACTAAAAATATTTAATAATTTCACAATTTTAAATACATTTTATAAAAATTATATTTGTAGAATTAGTTTCTACAAAAATGTATACGATGTTGAAAATAAGTGGTAAATTAACACCAACAAACCTTCACAAATTGACTGAGCATTCCTTGCATATCCTTTCTTGCAGGAGCAGCTGTAGCTTCCCACTGTGTTGACACAAACTTCTAAAGATCTGTCACAGTTTGTAGTGGTTGAAATGTCTTTACACTCATCAATGTCTGAAACATAAGCAAGAATAATCTATTTAAAAAATAAACAAATCAAAAGTACTCTACATAATCCTTTACTTATCTTAACATAAGAGCTGTCTCAACATAAAAAAGGCAAATTATATTGAAATTTACCTATGCAGGTGCCATTGTCAAGCTTATAACCATCTGGACATAGACAGCTGAATGACCCAATCTTGTTCTTGCACAAAAAACCCTCTGGACAACTAGTGGATTGGGCACACTCATCCACATCCACATCGCAGTGGTCACCTGACCAGTTGTTGTCACACACACAGCCCCTGATGGTGTCACATGACCCATGGCCACTACACTGGCAAGTGCTCTCACAGTTCATTCCAAACTGAGGTATTGTACAAGCTGGGTGTAGTAAATAAACAAAAATATCTGTTTAATCATAACATCAAACTAACTTAAATTTTGCACCAGAAAACTTTTTTTTTTAAATGTTCACAGTTCTCACATTCAAAAGAAATAAACAGTGCTATCTATCTTAATGAATAGAACAAGTCAGTGTAAGATTTAATTTTTAATTTTAACAATTTTATTTTACAGGCTTAAAATAAGATTATAAAATGTATAATTTAGTATTTAGCTGAGCTATTGCGGTGGCTATTATCTATAATTTTAGACATTGTTAATTTAAAAATCTACATTGCAATGAAAAAAAAACAATGACAGAATTGTTTTAAAGCAGCTTTTGTAACTTTGCGATAAAGAGACTGTAGCCTATCAAGTTCCCTAACCTGTACAGGACAAGCCATCTGGTGCTAGTGTAAAACCACTGTAGCAGGAGCATTGAAAGGTGCCTGGCTTGTTGACACAGCTCTGGCTGCAAGGTCTACTTGCAAACTCACATTCATTCACATCTGTAGGAAAAGGCTTAAAGTTACAAACATGTTTTTAACTCATTCATTTACATCTGTAGGCCTATATGAAATTTATAAATTAGGAACATATTTTTAACTCATTCATTTACATCTGTAGGCCTATAGGAAATTTATAAATTAGGAACATATTTTTAATTCATTCATTCACATCTGTATAGGAAAGTTATTAATTAGGTAATGTTTTTAACTCATTTATTTACATCTGTTGGAAAAGGCTTTAATTTAGGTATATATTGTTAACTAATTTATACACACATATTTGTGAAAAGTTTTAAGTTAGGTAGCCCTACATGTCACAAAATCATTAATTCAACTCAGTATGGGAAAATGTTTAATTTAGTTGGTACATGTTTTTAACTTATTCATTCACATCTAAATGGATACGTTTCTTTTAATCTGCCATTTGGGAAATGAAATCTTAGGTAATTTATTAATTTGTATTTTTAAAAATACAATATACTGGTGAAAATTATTTAAGATAAAATAAGATGAAGTAGAATAGGTCCCAATATGAGAAAAAGCATGTTCTACAAAAAACAGAAAATAAATGTGTAACCTCTGCAGTTTAGTGGGTTGTCTGGATCAACTTCATAGCCAAGTTTGCAGGTACAGTTGACCTGACCATTGGTTATGCTGCACACCTGTTGACACTGAGAGCAGACGTCTTTCAACTGCGCATCTGGAAATACATAAACATTAGATAAATACATGTTCAATAAAATATTATTTTATCAGCAGTATTAAAATTAGGGGACAAAAAAATACAGTGAAAAAAAATCAAGGTGATTTTTTAAAAATAAATATTAAAACTATAATTGAAATTTAAAGATATTCTCAATTTGTAAATGCAAAAATAATATTTTTAAGTATGTCATGTTATTAACATAATTTAAGATTTGGTTACATGTTATCAAGAAAAGAAAACACACCAATAGTGCAAGTGAATCCATCTGCTTCAAGTGTGTACCCTGCTAGGCAAGAACAAGAGTAGCTACCCTTTGTGTTGATGCATTTGTGTTGACAGTTTGAAGTTCTTTCTTCACACTCGTTGATTTCTGTGCAACAGTCACACACCATATGAATTGACATTTTGTATATAAACTGTACATTATTATTTTAGAACATCACACAACTATAAATGCTATAATTTTACTTTAATACACTGATGTTACTATACAGTTAATTACACATATGCATTATCTTATAAAGAACACAGAGTGTTATTCTAAAGTTAATATTTTTTATTGTATATTATTTTAATTTAAAAAGTGAGATACCTAAAATACAAATAAATATCTAAATGTTTGTAAACTATTTTCATATCATTGTAATACAAAGAATAAAATAAAATTTAAATGAAAGCCTATGTAAAATAAATTATATATAAATATAAAATTATGTAGGGTTATTGGTTCAATAGATTTTGAATGTTGATTTTTATAATACCAATTCTGATTTTTTTTGGTTAGGTTTTAATATCAATTGACTTTAGGATTTGAAAATTTGTACCTAAACATGTTTTCTTGTCAATATGATCTAGCCTGTAACCAGACTGACAGCCGCATGTATATGATCCTTCTGTATTGGTGCAAAGTTGATCACATGACAGGGTGTCATTGCACTCATCAATATCTGTCAAACCAAAGAAATCAGGTCAACTATAAATAGATTATATTTTTCAAATACTTCCTGGCAACTTGTTTGTTAACCAGAAAATTGCACGAAAACTGCAAACAAAATTTCAATTGATTATTAAGAACTTAGTAGGTCTACATAGTAACATAATGAGACAATTTTGCTTGCCATGGCGCTCTGTAGCATAACATTTTTTTTTCTAGAAATATGCCCAAATGAAAGAGTATTAGTATCATAGATTTACAATTGCTTATATTTTCTGTTGCCTACTTTGTAAAGTTATTTAAAAAAATTACAAGTTATTTGAAAAAAGTACTAGCACAGAAAATTAAATCTTCCTCTCACCAACACATTTCATCCTCATGTCCACAAAGCCAACAGGGCAAGGGCCACAAACATATCCAATAGAGTTGTTTCCCTGCTGGGCTGCAGTAAGATCAGTACAGTTCTGTCCCCTAGAGCATGGCTCAACAGCACAGGCATTGAGCTCTGTATCACACTCTTCGCCTAAAGAAAGACAATAATTTTAAGGAAACTTATCTTTTGAATGAATAATCATAAATTAATCAAAATTATTGTAGGTACAATACTAATTACTTGTTCAAAATTACTGTAGGCTACAAAAGTAATATCTTCTCTTGATTTTTAAAATAATTCCACGGCTATTTATAGAGCTTTTGGAAAAAAGACTTTAATTTCTCTTTGAAATAACTGGTTAAAACAGAATATTTAGAAATAGGCTTACTGGCATTCTAGGTACTTTGAAATATATATTGAATGATACTTCTTTTATTAAAAATTAAAAGCTAATTTGCATAATTTAAAATAAAATAAAAATTATTTTCCATAAATATGGGTTTCCATCTGAATCCTTAAAATCTATCACACAACCATGTATGCAAAACCTGTTGACCAACCTTTGTAAGCAGGCCAACAATCACAGGTGAGAATCTGGAACCTTCCATTGTAGTACTCCTCTGTTCTAGTTGTGTTGGTGTTACACTGACCATGTCCACTGCAAGCTGGACACACTGTTATAGGTATGTACAGTACAGGAGAGTAAGCTCCTTTGGTGTCCTTAACTCGGACTCTGAAAAATAATTAAAATATAAGAGCAACTGGCTAATAGGGGTTTTTAATGTTAACATATACATTATGCCATTTAAAAGCTGCATGTGTTTGAAATAAATAAAGATTTATTAATATGACTTAAGGCATATGATTTGAAATAAAAAATAAATTGCAGTATTGACTACTGTATTACATTTTTTAAATTCCAACACCAGTTTATAACATTGCTAACTGTGTTGCAAAAGAATAAATGACAAGACTAATACTAAATAAATATAGGCATATATGAACTATAGTCACCAGAGTAAGTAAACAAGTTCATAATATGTTTACATTTTTACACAGGATGGAGTATGTTTAAAATTACAAAATTATTGAAAAACCATAAAAATGAGTAGCTACATAAAAAAATAATTTTAGGCCTTCAGACTAAATAAAAACTTTTTTTCAGTTTTTAACACAATAGTAGAAACTAAGCTTGAATAATAATTTGCTGCTTACTGTAAAAGTACTGGGTATTTTATATCAGGCATGTATGTTATTTGTCCTGTTAGATCAATGCTTATTCCACTAAAGTTGCCAATAAGTTCAAATGTTACAGAGTCCCCATCATCATCCACTGCCATGGGATGGATTGTGGAATATGATCCTTGGCTGACCATCCATCGACCATTGCTGTTTAAAGTGTCGTTCAACAAATACACTTTTGGTGGGTTGTTAGCTAAAAAAAAGAAATTTAAAATTAATTTAAAAAAGTAATTAGGAATACATTAACTCAATACAAAACATAGTCAAGATTCCTATCACAATTAAAACATAAAATAATAAATTAAGTTTACAATAGATTTTTTAACCAGAGGTGTAGCAAGAGGGGGGGGGGGGGCGGGGGGTGTGGACCGCACCGGGTGACGCCATTTAGGGGGGGTGACACCAAGGCAAAAAATAGCAAAATATATAGAGAAAACTTGAGGGGGGTGCAAAAAAAAAAATTTGAGGGGGGGGGGGGGGGGGGGGGGGTGCAAATCAAAAATTTGAGGGGGGATGCGAATCGAAAATTTGAAAGTTTCTCTCCGGGAAGGGTCGCTAAGCCTCTGGGTGACACGATTAAATGCCGCAAAACTATATTTATTTGTACATTGTGTGATGATTTAACTAATCTAATTTAGGTCTTACCTAATACTTCAACTGTCACCGCCATCTCTTCACTGAAAGATTTTGTATTCTCCGCAAATGCCTGGTCACCAGTGGCCAGGAAATCAAAAATACAAGCATCATTTTTATCTCCACAAATTTCAACAGCTTTGGCCACATCTTCAGGCTTAGCTTCATCTTTAAACATGGGAGTGAACTCTGGGTGCTGGAAATCTTCTGCTTTTTCTCCTGGTCCATGTGTAAATAAGGTTGTCAAGTTGTTCACAGCCCCTTATATGAAAAATAGGCAAAGGTGTTTTTTTTAAATTTGTATGAAATATTTTTTTTTATATTTCAAATAAAACTACTGCAAAAGAAATAATGTAACCTACATTTTTGAGAAAACTGCTGAAATATCTCCCTTTCACTCAAGTTTGCAGAAAGCACCTGGCCATCAGGAGTAATGAACTCATCTGTCTTGTCACCATTGAAATTTCCCAAAAGGCCTCTAGTCTTACCCTGAAGATCTTTAGGGACTTCAAACATAATCTCAAGACTTTTTACAGCAACATGCACATGAATTGTCACCCCTGTTAAATGTTTTGGTTAATATTAAACAAAAAATAAACTATAGAGTGACACTCAATTAAGTTGTAAAAATATGTGACTAAAAAAAAATTTAATTTTTAATTTGTTCTAAAGATTATTCCTGCAGATTTTATAACAATACATTTCTGTAAAAACAAAACATAATAAAATAAAAATTGTACATTGTTATACATCTGCATTTGAGTTCTTGAACATGATATAGTAAAATCTATTTAAAAAAAATAATTAAATTGTATATTTTTTGTTTTTCACTACATTGTACTTAATGAAAAGAGAAGCATTTCGTAATACATAAATTGCTTTAATGAATGTAATAAGACAAGTTATGGTGGCATACCACAGATGAAGTTGACAACAGCAAAAGTTTTATTGCTCTTATATTCTCTTGTGATTTGTAGTGAATCACTAGAGAGGATAATATCTGAGTCAGAATCTCTGTAGAAGTCATTTGTGATGTCTATGCTATTGGCTGTTAGTACCATTGCTGAAATAAAAAAATTGATAATTTACTATATTTCCAAAAAAATATGTTTAAAATATTTATGCCACAATTCAAATATATTTTTGAAAAAAATTCATAAAAATTAAATTCAATAAAATCATGTTTTTTATAAGTGCCACAAACTCATCTTCACTCAATTTTTACTATGGTCCTATATCATTTACTAAATAAAAATGTATATATTTAATTGTTTAAATATTATGAATAAGAAAAGCAATTTATTTCTTTAATATACAATCTATCCAGTAAAATTTAACATTTTAAAAGCTGTTTCTACAAGAAACAGATTATTTAATTTGTTAAACAATACATATATTAAAATAAAGTACAAACTTGTATTAGAAGGTGATAAAAGAATTTGGAAAGTTGTTGTAGATTCTTTAACAGCAAATCCAATAAAAACAGTTGCACTAGATAAATTTCCAGCAGCCGTTTCAACTCTGCCTGTTCTAGCCTATAAGACAAACTTTGATATTTACTGAATGAAAATATGCACAATTTGTAAAGTGGATATCACTATTTGTGGTACCCCAACAGTTAGTTAGCTGTTGAAGTGGAACAGGATACATCAATATGTATTTAATGCTAATAAATGAATACTGATGTGACAAAGCATTTATACAATAAACTACATAAAAGAGAGTATATGCTTAACTCAAAATTAAGTACAAAAAATTAATTATGTAATCTATTTAGTTAAACATTTAATAAACAACAATACACTCTTGTCAAACATACCTGAATGATAAAATTTTCACTGTCAACTTTCATCATACAATACTCTCCCCAACCATTCATGGCATAATTTAGACCATCCAGTGTTGTTATTGTAGGGTCACCCAGCGCTGAGGCTAAAATTGTTATTTGTAATTGAAAAATTAAATGCCTAAGCTAAATTACTGTAGTTTATTCAACAGTAGGAACAGTTATGTGTGATTGAAATAAAAAGTTCTAATAGTTATGCAATCACTGTAAATAGTTTAGATTTTTGTTTGTGTTACAATGTATTTAAATGATGTTAATGAAATTTTAATATTAATTATAGTTATTTTGTAGTTCAAATAAAACACAGTAGCTAACAATGATTATTAATACATATTTTAATTTTAGACTGTATGTATTGTAATTCTTTTTAGAAACAGTGTTGCCTTATCAGCTAAGGAATTATATAGGCCTACTTCAAGGTTTGATAGTAGGTCAACAAAATATTTCATTTGTATTTCATTTTTTTGTCTATTTTGTTTTTGCCAGTGAAATTATTACTAGCAAAGATTTAGAACTGATTCAGGTCCATGGTTATAGTCATGGACTTTGTACAACTAACTTTGTTATCATCCTATTTAAGAAAACAAAAAGTACTTGGATAATTTTATAAGATCTATATTACCTGGCACAAAAAGAACAAAGTTGGAGCATCCCTTATCAGCAAATATTTTGTAAAAACTATCACAGTATTTGGCTTGGCTGGCCTGACTGCAGCACAGCTCATGCGTATGAATATTTTCCAAAGCCTTATAGTAGCCAAAGGAGCCAACTGACCAGGGGTCAGTGATTAAAAGATGTCCAGATTCAGGAGATGGTGGGAGATAAGCAGCTTCCCTCCAGGTTTGGAGCCAGAGTTTCCAATCTGTGCTGGCAGGTTTTTTCCACTTGTAGCAACATAGCTGATTTAAAAATGTATTTAAACATGGATTGGATTAACAAATAGAAAATATTTTATGTTTCCAATCTGTGCTGACAGACTTTTTCCACTTGTAGCAGCATAGCTGATTTCAAAATGTATTTAAACATGGATTGGATTAACAAATAGAAAATATTTTATGTTTCCAATCTGTGCTGACAGACTTTTTCCACTTGTAGCAGCATAGCTGATTTCAAAATGTATTTAAACATGCATTGGATTAACAAATAGAAAATAATTTTAGTTTGTCACATTAAGTTAAGGAAAATACCTAAATAAATCATAATTCATCATTATAATTTTATATTAAAATGCCATGTAACAAAAGTTTATTCAATATCCATGTCATCTAAGAAATACATGTCTTTTTTTTTTAATTTTGAATTTATTAAAGAACTAATTTTATTTTTAAATTTTTAATACAACTGATTTATTGATTTAAAAAGTTAAAAAGAATTTAACTTATGTTTAAGATATTTAAAACATGAAAAATATGATAAAGAAAACATTGAATTTGAAATACACTTTTTCTACATTTTAAAAATCTCTTGTTCACATAAAAGGAGTGTTATGTTTCTATTTGTGGATTAAAAGTCAATACCAAGTGAAAATACCCTTTCAAACCTACAGTAAATGTAACAGATGAATTACAGTTTTCGTAACCTCAGTTATTGTAAGGATAGAGTGCCCAATTCTATGCCTTTACTTTTTCTTTCTCAAGTCAGGTATCCATAAAAGATGGGTGGACGTAGGTACGTCATACCAACTCTAAGCCCTTTTGGGTTAGCAGCCCATCCACACTGTGATTGTGAAAATGGAAAATAACTCACCATATTCCTGGTGTTGCTTGACATCAACCTCCTTTTAGCCACCTGACTCAAGGCGTAACAATAAATGTCACCATTGGCCCCACGTTTCTCATACAACTGCCACTGGTTGCCCAGCCTCTCCAGGGTGCATGGGCACTTGTACAGCTGCTGCCTCTCATGCCAAAACACAACATCATCCAGCAGGTAGATGTAGTTGGACAGGTACTGTAGACAGGTGACATCTGGGCCACTCACTTTACCAACTACGTAGCCTACAATGCCTTGGTTGCCTGAGAAAGCAGGAGGGAAGTAAAGAATTTAAAAGTCAGAATTATTTTTTTTAAATATAACTGGCAACTTTAGAGAATATTATACATTTCTCAATACTCATACACCTTATCACAGGCTGACTACATGATAATTATAGGTATAGATATCAAAGTTGATGTAACTATTTCTGTGCTTTAAAAACGATTTTCTACTTTTACACTGAAGATCCTCTCAACTAAATGCAGGACTTTATTTTTATCCTCTATTCTTTAATGTATTTTGTGTTCGTTTTACATTTATTTGTGAATTTAAAAATATTAAATAACAATGTGGAAATATTATTTGTTAAATCACATACTTTTTTAGTTAGAACGAGGTTAATATTTTATTCATTAATTTTAAACATAGTTGAAAATTTGAGCATTGAAGATAAATTATAGAAATTTTTTAAAATATACATCGCCCATATCTCATGTTTCTACCTTCATTAGTTTGCATTTTATCCAAATTCGTCACAACAGGTGAGTTTAAATCTTTCATGTTATTTTGTGATTTTCCCCCTGATGTGCCAATACTGATTTGTCTCCCTGGAACATAATTCCAGTTCATGTTGCCTTGCTGGTAATGGAAAAGGACAAAAGCTGACTCTTCATCTGCAGGAGAATATAATGAAGAAAAGGATATCTGAGACTGATGATTGTTGAAAAAACATATTAACTTGAAAAGTTTTAGAAATACATTTTTTTTTTAAATATATTAAAACTGAATTTTTTTTTTTAAATAAAAAAATAAATAACAGATTTTAAAAATGTTTTAAAACAAGCATTTTTTAAAACTATTTTTTTTAACCTAAATGATTATCGATAGATAATATTTTCAGTGATAATTTTAGTTTAATGTATTTTAAATATAATAAAAAAATAATTTTGTAATGATTTGTAGATGAAATTTTATTAACATTTGTGTAAGATAACTAATATAGAAAGCTTTAACACAACATAAAATGTATTAGGCCCTATGTTGAGGAAAGGGCCACAAAACATTTTTTACTCACTAGTGTAAGTTCTTACGCCTTTGACTACCGCAGTTTCCCAGCCTGTGATGTAAATTGCTTGGATTGTATTGTACTCTGATTTCTAATATAGAAAAAAAAGTAAACATTTACATTAACAATTTAAATTTCAACAGCCTTACATCTGGAGAAGTGTCACACTTTTAGCTTGTTTAGTAGTGTATGTGAGGCAAAACATAGACAACAGAAAGTTTCTTTCTTTTCCTTGCCGTTAGCAAATTGTTACAAACTACTGTATCACACATTCCACATTCAGTAAAACATGTTATTAATAATTTTGATATAGGTCCTACCTGATTCTTGACCAATGTGAGTTGACTAAGTTTAATATTTTAGAACTGAAAACATTACTCTTTATCAAATTACTACTATTAAATTTTTGTTTATAAATATCATAATTAGCAATGATTTTTATATGCTCAGTGCTACTCATATACCCTCTCATGTGTATAACATTTGTTTTACCTTTGCCTTGAGAGAAAATGGTGCCACATTTTCCCATGTAATGACCATGACCTTTATAGCAGTAAAACCAGTGAGAAAGAAATTTTCTTTGACATCTTTTTCTGCTCTGGCTAACACATACATCAAGTTGGGCGACTCTTTGTTGCTTTCAAAATCAGGGAAAATGGATCCAAATCTTTCATAAGTCTGATAGTAAACCTGACCTAGAATTATTGACAGCATATTTATTCATGTGTACTTTAATGTAAATATAAGACTATATTAACTTGGCTAGATATCTGAAAAATATAAATATACTTTGCTTGGATTTAAACATGCCATATACCAATTGAACTTTAAATTACATAGAAAACATTTGGATATGTAAAACAATCATAAGATTTTGGATAAAAATTAAACTAGAAAAAATCAGTAAATCATTTGAATTTTTCATAACATAGCCAAAAATTGTACAGGTTTATGAGACAATTGATAATTTCTTTGAAACATATCATTGTGTGGAAGAATATTTGTATTACCTATTGTCGGGTCCATATCTGTCCAGTATGGAGCAACAAAGTTCAATCCTTTTTCAGTAGCCCAATTGAGGTCAGCCACTCCACTTGGGTTTGGTTTATCGCCAAAACCAAAAACTCCATTGGACATAACCTGGATAGATTATTCTTATATAGTTTGAATTATCACAATGTACATTTCTTGTGGATACTATATACAATTTTACATTTGTTGGATTTTTTTTCAAAACCACAAGTATAATAATGTGTCAATTGTGATTTTAACAAATAAAATATTTTATCTATGCAATCTTGTCTTAAACAAAATATAACAATAACATTTCTGTAACATAGGCTTCAATTATTTTAAAAAAATCTTTTTTGCTTGGTTGGAACAGTGTTTAATAAAATTATCATTTGATTTATTATATTTCCTTTAAGGTAAGCTTTTTCAATTTTTAAAATTATCTCTATCGAATTCACACGGACTAGTGAATAAGTTATTGTAAGTTTATAAGTTTTTTATTTTTCTCTATTAGACTTATCATAAAGGCCAAGATTATGACCAAGCTTCACAAGAAATGTGAATCAGTTTAACCAAAAAACATTGTCTACAGTTTTATAAAAGTAAAATGATTTTCATTGTGCTTTAATGATTAATGGTCAACTAAAAAACTTACATAAGCTGCTGGTTGGTGTGTATCCCCAAATGGAGCTCCAGAGCTAAACTTGATGGCATTGCTAACTAAAACGGCAGACGCTGGGTTGGCATTGCCAGAATTTTCCAGCCTCAGGTCACCAGCTGCTTCACCATATGGGTAGTAGGGAACTGAAACATAAGGTTACCATATGTGCTCACTTCTTGTAAACACTACATTGCAAAAGGGAAATAAGTTTAAATACTTTTTTTTAGGAAGTCTGTTTAACAGTTCGGTTGTAAGCTAAAATAGCGTGGCAGTAAGCTCTCCTAAATTTCTTGTATGTTTGTATTAAAAAGTTATGATTGGTTTGACACTTCTAGTAGAATCAAGCGATGGGTATGAAAGGTACATTTGCAACTAAACAATTCTTTTTTTTTAATAGGCAAAAAGTTTAGTGGAAATAGAGTTAAGTACCACTTATAGTGATTAGAAATTTTGCAAACGTTGCAACCTACATAACCAAAAAATGCAATTCCCTACACAAATCTGAAACTGCAAGCTAGTTATCATGTTAAATTTCAAAGAACCATTTTTTATGTTTCTAAATATTGAACCTGCTATACTCTACTCTAGCTTACTATTTTAGCATGTTAGCAAATCTCTGACAATATGTTTAGTGATCAGAAGAAATATAAAATAGAAAACAATTATGCAGCCTACATAATCAAATCTAAAAAATACTAAAGCTTGGATCACAAATAAAAAAATGGTTTCTAGAGTAAAAAATTAATTAGAGGCTAATTAGAACAATACTAGCCAATAATGTTTTTTAATGAAAAATTATTTAAATTAATTATAATTCTATTAATACATAAAACTTCCATTTCATAAACTGAATGTGGAATAACTAGTGTCATAAAAGACCGAGTAAAACACTAGATGCTATGGATTGAAATGGTCTTTAAGAACTTACCCACACACGATGCTTGTGCTGCTTTGTCTAGCTCTAGACCATCAGGGCACAAGCAACTCTCCACACCTTTATTTCTTAAGCAAGCGTGTGAGCATTTTTTTTGCAAACACGCCTTGTTTTCTGGGGAATTGTAGTGGTGTTTTATTACTATGACATGAACTCTTAAACCACGGGTAACATGGAACTTTCTATAACTATTTTAATTTTTTTTAAAGTAACCTATAATACCCAAATAACTGTTTTATTAACAAGATAAGAACATACTGCTTATTGAATTATTTTGTTTAAATATGCATTTTAAAATAGTTCTATGTTTATACCATATGAAATCTGAAAATGGCCTAAAGAGCAGCTTACATTTTATTACATATTTTACCATCACTATAAAAATATAGGCATGTTAATGAAATAAAAAAAATAACCCATTTTTACATTTTTCTGTTACTATAAATATAGGTTTTGAAACTTTATGTCAATAGTAGTATTACTATGAAGATTAATACAATTGCTTATTGTTTAAAATATTAGGATACACTTTGCAAACTTGTGAAATATAATTTTATTTTAATCTGTTAAAAATAAAATATTTGATTAACATGAAATCAGGAGATGTTTTTACCTTCTGAAGTGTAGCTTCCATAGAAATAGTCAGCATTCTGGTAGTAGAAATTGTAATAATTCTGTTTATAGTAGATAAACAATTTGTTGCCTTTTGTTAATAACACATTTTGGTTGAAATTAGAATACCAAAAGTGATCAATCAATGATCCATTTGTGTCAACTCCATCATAAATGTAAAGCTCACCATCTTGGCTATAGAAATTAGAAAACCTGAAAAAAATACAAAGTTTATCATCATCGTCAGCAGGTTGAATTTTTATACCCTACCCTTACAGTGTTGCAGAAAAATGTCTGAGAGTTATAATAAAAAAAATAATATTTAAAAAACAAACCTGAATGTGATAGTGAATCCTTCTTCCACTATTATTTTCCAAGAGCATTCTTTATTGCTGAAAGTGTTGTAAATACCGTAGTTTGGACTGATGATTTCCCCTGAGGCATTTGTTAAGATGTGACTACAATCTGGAAAACATGATAGAATTATTTACATTCCTAGAAGTTGGAACCTACATTTAGAGAGAGTACTCTTGTAGCATGATTCTGTAGCACATACAGTATTTTGATAATAATCAAATGACTAGTCACTAGTGAATTGGAAAATTATAGGCCTAGTTACTTTCATTTCATTATTTTTTTATTTTTTACAACCGTGTTAGCCTAAAAATTATATGTATTTAGGATGTTATAAAGTAAACAATTTTTATATTAGAAAAAATCATCATTGCTTTCATTTTGAAGAACAATTTTAAATCGATCTCTGCACTAAACAAACATTTAGTTATTAAGGCACATGTTTTTTAAACCTGCATTACAGGAAATTAATAAAATCTATTATGTAAGACTGTGAGTTTTTAAACAAACCTAATTAGAACATGTTTCATACAATACAAAATATGCTGAATTTATAGATCTCATAGAACTTATACTAAAAAGTAAATAGCCTACTATAACAAAATAGACTATTATAAATTCTATAACATTATAGTCTAAATTGAGTCTAAACTTACCTCGTAGATCACATGTTCCATTTGAAGAAATATAATAATTTAAACTATTTTGACAATTGCAATAGTATCCTCCATATGTATTCACACATTTGGTTTTGGGTGTTGTGCAATTATGTGTATTATAACTGCATTCATCATAATCATATTCACAGTATCGGCCAGTAAAACCAGACATGCAGTTGCAGATAGCTTGTTTAGAATAGCAGCTTTCAGATTGACTTTTAGAACAAGGGCATGATAAAGAACAGTCTGGACCGTAAGTTAAGTTCCTGCAATCTGTATATAAAGGAATAAATAGGCCTAAGTAATGTGCCAGACGAAATGTTTCCTGTTTTGAATAAAATGTATTATCAGTAGTATTATCAGCCCTATATAGGACTAGTACAAACACTGTTGCTGTATTAGAATTTATTTATTGAATGTTTGACCATCAGTGTTCAGAATGAAATAATAGAAATAGTAGAAAAACCTCATAAATAAAACAGGAGGAGATAGGATTACCAACTCTGTTTCTTTTTGGCAGTTTCTGTGACACTTCCAATGCCAAGCTACACAGGTAATGCATCCTGTCACTTGGGTTCATCAGCTTTGTGGAGAGAGGGGCCTGATATATCGGCAACGGCTGGTTCTTTTCAACTTAGGGCACAGACTTTGTGCTTGTATATTCAATACACTATCATCCAATGGTCTATTAAACTATGGAGCCATATACATCGATTGGCGTACCAGTATCCTCTTTCTTCATTAGTTATAGGAATAAAGAATAGCATTTGGTGTTTTAGTTTTAATATATTTTTACTCCCGACTTACCAACACACTGATCGCCTACCAGTTCCATTCCAATTGGACAATAACATATCTCCTTAACAGATGTTTCATTATCTGGTGTAAGACTAACACAGATATGGGAACAATTTCTCTCTGAGCATTCCCCACCTGCACCAACTGCAGACAGAACAGTAAAGAAGAAAAAACCTTTAAGAATCAACAAGATGGACCAAAGCTATTTGAATTACTGTCTTAATCAGAATAAATAATATAATTAACTTAAAACACATGCATTATTATATTCAAATGAGTCATAATTATGGTCTAAGCCTATTATAAGCTTTTGTCAAATAGATCATTTCACGACAATTCCCTCTTTTGAACCATTGATTTTTAGGAAAAAAAGAGATTAAATTTACATAATATACAATATATGGGCATACTATTGATCACACTAACCCTTCATATGCAAAGGACAGGTGAAATCTAATTCACTTGCCCCATGTACCATCAGGTTCAAAAGGGAGCTTTATTTTTGTAATAAAATATATAAAACAATATATTTCAAAATTTCTCTCTCTCTCTCTAAATATATATATATATATATATATATATATATATATATATATATATATATATATATATATATATATATATATATATATATATAATTATATATGCCAAATATATTTTAATATAGGGTAATAACTTTTGGAATCTAAAGCTTACTAATGCACTCTGTTTGGTTCCATACTAGACCCGCCTTACACAAACACTCATAGCTGCCGTTCAAATTGTTACAGTGTGTGTAGTCTGGGCATATGAAAGGGTCATCTGAGCACTCATCAATGTCCACAGAGCAGTCATTGCTTGTCCAGCCGTCTTTGCAGATGCACTGACCAGTGATGTTGTCGCAGTATTTTGTGTTGGGGACATCACAGATGCATGGCGTAGAGCAGTTTCTATCATAGTGAAATGGTAGACATTCTGGAAGGAGGGGGGAGAATTGTTAAATCTTGTAGGCATATTGGTGGGTGATTTGGGGATGTGGGTTGAGGGAGACAGTGTGATAGATAAACATCAAGGATCAAATGTATCTTACCATGTGTCCAATATGATAGCTTGAATTGTACAGAGTAGGGAAGATAGTAGAAGCAGTATATTTCTAAATGCATGTTTTCCGCTTCGGATCTGATCAGCTTATATGAAAATTCAAACACTGGATAGACTGACTGTGTTAAAATTGGGTAGCTTGAGTTGTTGCCATTATAAATTACTAAAGAACTGTATGGTGACCAGCTAAAGTACTGAAAACTAAAATGCATTATTCTTATTAGCAAAGGAACTACTTAAATTTGCTTTTTAATTATTTTTCATGTCACAAATTTGTGTTTGTAAAGTTAAATTAGATAGTAAATAATGAAACGTATTACATCTGTGTTGATATGTTCAAATTAACAAAATTTAAAAAAAAAAGGAGTATGATTGATCTAAAGACATAAGAGCAAATAAACATTTTTTATACACTACCCTACCCAAGATCATTTTATATCTAACTTATTTTTCTATAACATTTCCTTATATTATTGAGTATAGCATATCTACAAACTGCCACTCCCCAATATAATTAGGTGGGCTACTACAAAACTGATTTTAAATTTAAATTAAGGATGCCACATCAATTTACAGAGGTTTTTTACTATGTCTTGATTTTAAAAGGTTTATCTTGCATCAACATTTTTTTTAATGTAAGCCAGTCAAGCGGACTTAGGCCCCTATAATGATGAGTATAATCTCAACTATTCTAAATGTCGTTTTTAGAAACAAAAAAAAGAATAAAGATTGTATGAAATTTTAGTTATTTATATTCTATACATTGCTGTAAGGCTTACACCATATCCTCATGCTATATAATCACTATGTAGCATTTTAATAAATCACTACCCGGCACTTAATTTTAAATGTAATATATTATATCCTACAAATTGTAGTACAATCCTTTTAAATAGATCAATTACTCAGTAGAAGGTTGAATGTTCCATCAATATGTTTAACTTTTTTTAAGTGAATGATAAAACAGTAACAAACAATGTTGTGCATTTCAAAATATAGACTATTCAACAACAATTACTATTAGGAAAGCAAAAATTGAAAAAACTTTATTTCATGATGGGTATGCTAGATATGCACTTGGCACTTACTAAACTGACACAACTTGTCCAGGTGGAGCTACAATAGTCCAGGAGCAAACAGAAGTGTAGGTATTCAGATAGATGTATGCATATGCTCGAGTTTCAATATTTCCTGTAGGCTCAGTAAATACCTTCCCACACTCTGAATGTAAGAGAAATTTTGACAATTAAAAACAATCTATATGATTACCTGTTTAAATAATATTCAATATTTAAAAATAGGTCTAAATAGGTCTAAATAAAACTACATAATCAACTTGAGAGTTGAAAAATAGATGTTTGACGTAATTTCAGTAGAAATATGTTTAAGTTTCAACAACTTGTGTAAGGTTAGTAATAAACATTTACTATCTGACGGCTAAAACATATTTTGTAAGGCTAAGCGAAAAAACATATTATCCTACTGCCATAAAAGACTGTTGTAAATTGATTGGTATTGCGAAGTATAAGAAAAAGGCTCTAAATGTGAGCGGGTGAATGGATTATTTATTTTGTATTATTTTATTTGGTGCGAATCTGTGAGTGGATGGTCCACTGGACAGCGGCTACGGGGTTACCCTTCCGCCCGAAGCGGGCAGTATATAAACTGACCACTCAGATAATTTTCTTTCTTTTTGACCGCAAGAATGTTGGTCAAGTCAGTTGTCTGTGGTTGCACTTCGTGCGTTGGAGTGAGGTTGCTTGTGCAACTTGGCTGGGTGTTTTATATATAGTGTTTTGTTGTATATAAATTGTTTAGTTACATTCTGTTTGTGGTGTGTGAATTGTTCGGTTTTGTTTCAGTAATTATTTATCTATTTATTTTTTTTTATTTTATCATTTGTTCCATGTGTAAAATAAATTTGATCGATAATTAAAATATTTTTTGGTTTTAATTTAGACTAAGGTTAGGTTATTAACCAGTCTGGATTTATCCGGGCTTGCACTGACCGGACAGTAAATAGATAAGCCAGGGAAGGGTAGATAGATATTAGTGATCCCCTCCCTCCCCTAGCAGGGCTTACATAAGTACAGCTACATATTTTCATACACCTACATATTTGTTTTGATAACTATAAGATACGGCGAACTAAGAGTCATTCAATGACTAGAGAAATAACAATAATTGATTACTATCAGAGTTTCTTCCAAGCATAGCCGAAGAACATCTACCGCCCACCACGTCCCCTCGAATGAAATAGAATTTATATAGAAAAATATATTTTAACAGTGTTGTCCCCCCCTTCCCCCCCCCCCCCCCCCCCCCCAAGAAAAATTTGAAGTGACCCCCACCCCAGAAAAAAGTTTGAAAGAAACACTGATTACCATCACAGTACGTATCGTTGAGATACTCGTGCCCCTGTATGCAATGACATTCGTAAGATCCCCAAGTGTTGGAACAGACGGCACTGTTGTTCTCAGCGGTGCACGGAGGTTCTTGTAGGCTGCATTCGTCTACGTCATAGGAACAGCTTGCAGACGTAAACTGTGGCTTGCAGATACACGCGCCATTTTGACTATCACAGTGGTCAGTACCCGGTTGATAACAATTACAAGAAAATGCACATTTTTCTCCATACGTCCACATAGGGCAACCTAGAAAAAAGGTAGGCTACCCTATTTATTTTACGACAAAGCAGTAGGACATTATCGATGTTACATCACTTTTTAATTTGATATATGAGCATAAAAATAATGACAATTGATAGGCCTATAAGTATAACGGTTACATCATTATTGTGGGTTTTTTTTAAAATAATGCCTTATACTTGCAGACATCCAGTTTTAACACAGTAAAGATTTAAGGTTAACATACGCCCACAAAAAACTACAGGCAAACATAGGTCAACATGTAAGCATAGGTTTTTGTTTACTCAAATGCAAGTTTCAATGTGAAAACTCACCAATACATGTTTAATTGTCATTTGGTTGTCATTAGGGTCTAGAATCAAGTCACAAATGATGATTGATTGTCATAAAGATCTAGAATCAATTTACCAACGCATGTTTGGTTATCATTTGATTGTCACTAAGATCTAGAATCTACTTACCAATACATGTTTGGTTATCGTTTGGGTCCAGAATCAGTCCTCTAGGACATGCGCACTCCTCTACCCAGGGATCTTGTGACGTCACACCACACATGTGTGAGCAGTTCTTCACTTGGCACTCCCCCAGAGCTGGAAGCAAACATGATTTATTTTTTATTCGAATTTAAAAATCGAGAACTTCAGAAGCATTTTCAGATCACAAATTCCAGACTGAATGAAAGTATCAGACCAACATTACTTTTTTTTTTAAAAATACAGTGCTTTATGAAATATGCATCACAATAATCATAATGTAACACTGGCTCAGTGGGGATATGGTTTAATTGTTCATCCACCGAAATTTAGTTTGGGGCTGAAGTAGACGACGGAGGACTTTGTTAGACCTTTACTTGCTCATTTATTCATTAATTACCAGCAGCACAACACATTAGCATTTCTGCAACTATCAGATTTGATTACTGCCCCTTGGCTAGTAACACTATATGTTGTAATAACGTGTAAAATATTCTTTTCTATCTACGTATTAAAAATTGCCTAGCAGTGATGTTAACTTTTTTAGTCGTGTCTGATGTCTCGTAGCTACAACAATGGGTTTTAAACTTCTCCAAGGTTATGTAGTCTAAAACTTAAATTGCCGCTTTACGAACTTTTGAACCTACCAATAGGATTCTAAACCTCCTATGTATTCTTTGATATGTAGCAACATCCCTATAGAGCTTAACATCCTGAATATGTCCTGTTACACCTACCATAGCACTCTCCAGTACTGGTGTTCATAGCTAGCCCAGGTTTACACAGACAGTCGTAGCCAGCCCTTGTGTTGTTACAGTAGGAGTAGATGTCAGTACAGATGAGAGGGTTCTCACATTCGTTCGGGTCGACCGAGCAGTCTGACCCGAACCAGTTGGGCTTGCACTGACAGTTCCCATTGAACATGTTGCAGTGCTCCGTGTTGGCTTCCTCGCATGTGCAGGGGTTGTTGCAGTTGGTCATGCCATAGTGGGAGGGTGGACATTCTGTGAATTTGTAAAATATTGATTAATTTGTTAAATAATTAAAACCTTCTTTAGGTTTGTTTTTAGACGTAAACACATATTCACCAGTTATAACGTTTGTCATAGTTAAGCAAATTCTACTCGAACAAAACGTGTCTTTTGTCGTGTTTAGCTTTAACTTTTGAACTCTCATTAAATTTTTGGCAGAAATGTGACAACTATCGGAGGGCGTATTTACTACACAAGCTATACAAGAATGGCTCAACTTTAAAAAGGTTATGCAAACGAAATTGTTTAAAATATAACGCATTATAACTAACATACTATTCCCAAACAATTCAACACAGTGTTTGTACTTACGAAATGTATACTACACATGTTTAGGAAAAAAGAACGCGCAAACATTTTTCTCATGGAACATGAATTCTTACATGTACACATTTTTTTTCATGACATGTATTGTATACTCGTAGCACGATTAAACTAGCCCCATTATCTATATATATGATTCTCTTCTGGGAGCTGTTAGAAAACAAGCTGCAAGCGCCTCCTTGCAGTCCCCTCTCTTTCTCTCTCACTATCACTACCATCCCCACCCCATCCCCACATTGTCTGGTGAGCGGTGTTCACTCTGTTTACATTTTACAATCACAGAGACGGGTTTGGTCACGGCTATTAGGGGCAGATAATTTAGTTTGAAACGATTTTAAACTTAGAGGAGGTAACTAAGAGGAGGCTGCTTTCACGTTGGGGGGGGGGGGGGGGGGGTTAGTGTTTTTAAGCAAATATTTTCAGTGGCAGCATTGGTACTGTCGAATTCACAAATTATAAATTACTGAAAAGTAGAAAAAAAAAATAAATAGCGGCGTATGATACGCAGCGGGTCGGCTCGTATAGAGATAATAGACTATCTGAATCCCTTTGTAGATAATTATTTGACCTACAGCTTGGTTAATTTTACCTTTGTTAAATGCTTTTTAATAATTACATACTATATTCCTGATTTTTTTTTGCCGTAGTTGACAATAAAAGTAAAAAAGTAAAAAGAAGTAATCGACATCATTTATTGTTCGATTTTTCTCCACATTAATATTTATCTATTTGAAAAAGTTTAGTTTAAAACGTGTATGTTATTTTTTCTCCAAGTTTATGTATTATATACAATAGTAGAAGCTGTACTTTAATTATCAAAATATAATAAGAAAAACATACCGTGTGTATAGTAATCAAAATGATACGAATATTGATAATTAGTAAATCGCATAATGTACATCACGTTGCCGGTGCTACGTGCAATTAGTTCTCCCCAATATCCGTTATTAAATGGCGAAATGACTTCTGAGGAAGAATTGGGTCCGTTGTACAAGTACCAGTTTTCTGAACCCCACCAACTCCAAGCCAGTCTAAAATGTTTAGATAAAGCAAAGATATAGAGAGACAAATAATTTGTATACACTTTACACATTTAACATAAAATCTTCGGAAGAGGCTATGAATCCACCAAAATAGAAAATATGCAGAAATACGTTGTTAGGGATCTGAACCAGTGTTTCTTCTAGACTTTATTCTCCGGCGGGGCATTTTAAATTTTTGGAAGGGGGGGGGGGGGCGGACAATGTTAAAAGTATATATTTTCTATATACATTTCATTTCGTTCGGAGGGGTAGTAGAAGAGATGCCCGGAAGAAACTCTGATCTCAACTTGAGGTGCTCAAGACAAACATTTAGCTTATGGTTTCATCAGAAAAAAGGCTCTTTTAAGATGACTTAAAATATCTGCTCATTTAAAAAAAAAAACTCATTTTAGCCAAGAGAGCTTTTAAAAAATACAACACTTTTTAAAATGTCTAAAAGAGATGTCACCATCTTCTGTCTGCATAACCAAGCATCTGCTAAAAATACATTCAATGAATAATTAGATTATTTAAATTCTGCAATATTTTATCACACAAAACCAAGTACATACTGCAAAGTTACAACTTGTTCAGGGGGCGCAACTATAGTCCACCAACACGAATAGGAAATGTACGGCTCAATATAATTCAAATTGATTATACCTGATGAGTTAGTCATCACCTTACCACACTCTGTATAGAGAAAAAAAATCAAATTAAACATCGAAATTAAGTCACATCAGGAATTGACTAGTTTAGTTCGAAAAAAATCAATCCGGTACAGGTTGTCACTATTTTGCTCGCATACTTCGCCCCACGTCTAATCAACAAAAAAGGAGAAAAATAAACAGATCGACAGACAGACAACATCATGGTAGGCAAAAGCTTGTAAATACGAGTTTTGTTTAGCATAGAATTCATTACTTAAATTAGGGATCGGCGTGGTAAAGCTCATGGTTGCTTAAACCGAAACGTCTCGTCTCGAGTTCGAACCCTCGGGCAGATCAGGCTTGTTAGCTGGGGACAATAACTCTTCTAGGAGAGACAATTCCAAAATCAAGCAACTGCTGTGTAATGGATTATGGTTTTATTATAACACAACGGACGATGAAGCCATGTTTATGTATCTTGCTTTTATTCTGCCTCAGCAACCGGAACATGACATGCAAGGGACATCACTCAAAACATTATAAGACTAATACAAAAGAGTGAGTTCCCCTCAATACAAAGCTCAGTATATTACATGCAGCCTTGTAGTTTGTTCTTGGTTGGACAAAGGCTATGGAAGCTAATCCAAAAACAAACGCAGGATGAAATCGGAGTTAATGGCCTCAATAGCGCATAACCAGTTGACACGTATTCTTAATTGTGTTGGAGGGGATCCTGCACTAAACTTAAGAACGAAGAAGAAGAAGATTACTTAAATTGATCAATAATTTCACTAAATTAACATAATTATAAATAAACCAGTTAATAATCGTCAGAAATCAAATCGTTTAATGTAATGAATTACCATCACAATACGTTTTGTTGAAATGTTCGTATCCACTCGCGCAGTAACATTCAAATGAGCCGAAAGTGTTATGACAGTAGGCGTGGTCCTTCGCGAGTGTACACGGAGGCAACTCAAAACTGCATTCATTGAAGTCTAGTTCACAGCGGGTCGAGGTCCATTCCAGCTTGCAAGTACACTGTCCGTACTCTTTGTCACATGACTCGGTTCTGTCACGGATACAGTCACACGTGAAGGCACAGTCGTCACCGTACTTCCAGTCTTCACATTCTGAAGGAAATTGAATGTCATTAGCAGTTTAATAAGTTGTATTTGTGGAACAATCTTCCTAATAAAACAAAACTATTTATATCTGAAAATATATTTAAAATAAACGAAAACAATTATTCAATGACCTCCTTTACTAACTCATTGCAACATTTCTCATGTATCTATTATATTATCATTTTACCTCATTTTGTATTATGACTATTTAATATTATTTCTTTATTCCAAGTTTTTTAATGATATGTTATTGCTGTCTTTACTAGTCAATTTTTTTTTTTTTTAAATCTGTATGCCGAGTGTATTGAAATTGATAAACCAGAGTTTTCTTTCCATTACAGTTAGACACTTTTTGTTAGCAAACTTCGTTTAGAAAAGAGCAAATATTTGGGTACTGGACTTATAAAGGGGTCCATATATAAAAAAAAATTACCTGCCGCGCAGTCAATTTTAAAGTGATCAAGTCTAAATTCGGTTTTGTGGTTTTACTACGCGAGTAGAATGAGGAGGAATTGTGTTACAAACCAATGCACGTTTCGTCGTTTAAAGAGTCATTGAGGCTCATCCCTCTAGGACAGAGACAAACTTCAGTCCAGGGATCAGTTGAGGTCACACTACACGCGTGGGAGCACTTCTTGGTCTTGCACTGGCCTGGGTCTAGATATAGAACACACTGATGTAACGTTTGGAATAAAAGGAAGATCCGTTAAGTAATAGTATAGTAGCACAATGATAAAATTGCTGAAAACTTTTGATCAAATAAATGGGACGTTGCTTATATAGTACAAGCGTACCCGTCGCGCGTCGCTGTGATCTAGCCCTAAACAAGAAACCAATAAAACTTTATCAGATAGCTTTATCTACGCGTTACCTGTCGTTTTCGGACGTGTGATATTTGTTCAAGTTATGACAGTATATTTTTAGATCTTAACTTTTGTGGCGAGGGTATGTCCACATTACCACCCTAGACAAAAAAAAAACAACTTGGGTTTACGTTGATAACCCTTCGTAATAGTAAATATTGCTTAGAGACCGCCTAGGTGTCAAGTCTTCTCAGGATGAATCATCACCTATACTGCTGTGTAGAGTACTCATTAAAATGAACGTAGGTGCCATAGTGTTTTTAGTGTAGCCCCGTATGCCGGACTCACACTCAGGTGCAATTAGGCTGTTTAATTAAAGAAAAACCAAGATGTCTAATCAACGAACCCTATGTGCTAAGATAACCGCTAAGGAACTTGAGGCACCAAACCGTACACTACTGCTTCACGTTTGAAGTTTAGACAAATACAGATCTGGTTTTACTAAATAACTATAAGCAGTAAGGTAAAATATTTAGTTTATGAACAAAGAGGGGATGTGCAGGCTCCAACTTTTCTAGGGTTCTCAAAAAGATCTCTTGATTTCGCTTTAGTTTTCAACGGAGGGGCATAGAGCAATGGTTAATTAAGTAACCGCTTCTCTACCATAAGAGCTAAATTCTTGTCTCTAAACGACATTTTAATACAGCTAAGCCAAAACACACAATTTTAGTAATTGTTGTTTTTTTGTTTGGCTGGATACCCTTTAAACATGAAGCGTGAGATCAACCTCTTACCATGGCATTTTCCGTCCTCCCAGATCTCTAGGCCTGGCTTGCACACACACTCGTACCCAGACTTTAGTTTGCTGCACACGGAGTAAGGGTCTTCGCAGATGGTGGGTTCCAGACATTCGTTGACGTCCACAGTGCAATCGAGGTACCAGCCGGGGTTGCAGTTACACTTTCCTGTTTGACTGTTGCAGCCGCTGCTATGGAAACGGTCGCAGTCGCAGGAAGTGTTGCAGACGTCGAGGCCGTAGGTATATTGTGGGCATTCTAGGAATATGATTATAGTAATGAGTGTTATTTTATTGAAAAAAAACACAAATAAATAAATCATTTGTTTTTAAAATCATTTTTAAAAATCCTATATTTTATGAAGTCATGGTTACTTTCCAGCAAGGCAAAGATTTGAATTTAGTTCTAGTGGGAGTCTGATTTAAGCAGTGGATAATGTACACGTTGATTTTCTTTACAGTTTTTATAACTACGGAATTTAATTTTCAGACGATGGGTTTTTGTCACGTACGCATGCCTCTACAGTGTTTAGCTCAAAAGAGTACTAAAATTGCCAAACATTGTACGTCTATTGCTTTTATTTGTTAATGTAAATCATATCTAATTGTTGCATTAATGCATTATATGGAAAAGAGTAGCAGCGTAGCCTATCAAGGAATCAATTAAATCAACCAATTTAGTAAATTGAAATTTGTGTGGTGTGCTAATAATAAAAATACACCAAATACACATTAATGATTCATGTTAAAGGAAAAAAAAATAATTACCAAAAATTAATCAAATCTTAGATAATGAACGAATATCAAGAGAACCTACCATGGGATGTGTATGTCATATTGAATCCTGACCCCGACCCTCCTGGACCAGATACGAACTGGACATACAGAAACATCCCGCTGGATCTAACTCTGATTCCTGCAGTTCTGGCGTCCAAATCGTACCCGCAGTACGTTCCTAACAGCGGGTATCCGCTGTGGGTTCCGTCAAAAATTTTAACGTAGTCCACACAAACCTGGTCTTTTTTTCTTTTAAGGTCCAGTTTCAGAAACCTGGTAATTTACAAAGAAAAAACCTTAATTAACATACATAATTCATATTTAATTGCATTTTTAATAATAATTCCTGAGGAAGATAAGAATTTTTCACACTAAAGTTTAGCCAGTATTTCTTATGCCTCAGAGACATAAAGGATGACATAATTGAATAACTACAAAAGTTTACCATGAAATCTTAAGATTTAATGCCAGACAAAGTGTCGAAAGACGACCAGTGACAGTGTTTCTCCCAGACTTTTTCTTCAAGGGAGAGGGGGGGGGACAGGCACTTGAAGTTTTCGGTGGGGGGGCGGATTAAAATTTCCGGGGGGGGGGGGGCGGCGGACACTGTTAAAAGTATTTATTTTCTATATAAATTACATTTCTTCGAGGAGGGTGGGAAGACTATCTTTGGGGGGCTGATTCTCCCCCCCCCCCAAGAGGTGCCTGGAAGAAGCTCTGGTGGCAAACCACACAAAAGAATACAGCCGATAGAATGGGATATAAAGCCCGCAAATGGGATGAATCTCGCCACGCCCTGGTAAAAGATATCGAGAGGCAAGAGTTGGAATGGTTCCCCCTCAACCCTATTTTTAAAAAGTGTAGGCATGCTTAAGCAATCCCGAAGATTGTGAAAGAAGAAACAAAGCGTGTAGGCTCAACTAAAGAGATCTGCCCAAAACTGAGTCCGGCAGCCCTTTGCTCCTTTGAGGTTACACGTAAGTCAAGTAAGTAAAGTGATGTTCCAACGATAAGTCTTGGATTAATTAAGCTTTATAAATTATTTAGCTCTTCCATTTTCAAAGTGACATAAAAATATAGACAAAAGATCTTTTCAGTAACATAGGTCAATTCCAATTAAAACTGCAACTACTTCATCGAGACAAAACGCTATTTCTAACTACTCTCTTCATCAGAGTTATGTAAAATAAACTAAAAACCAATAAAAAAACAAACCTGATGTCGATTATTTGATTATAAGGAGCATTGATGAGCCAGTCCATGAACGTGTTATTCGGGTAGTAATCTGGAAAGTTGGGGGATGATATCGATCCTTCGGTGTATAGGTAGATTTGTCCTGTTTAGGGAGGATTAAACCAGTACAAAGCAGAAAAGAAAGCCTTTTTTTTTTAAAAAAAAAAGAATATACTTTGTTAAAAGTCGTGTGATTTATATGGTGAACTAATTGAACGTGATATACAGGGGTTTTTTTTGTTGTAATATACAAGATCACAGCTTGTGATGTAATCGTCTCTTGTTAATGTCCTCTTCTCAATATTGTCGCACACTAAACAAAAGCAATAGAGCGACCATACACATAGTACCTGATGAAGTACGATTTACGAGAGTAAAAGGAAGTCGAAACAAACTGCATCGTACAATTAATGGGGTGTAAGGGTTCGGTGTTCAGGGGTTCGGAGGTTTGATACGATGTTCGAGGTGAGGACTAGAGACCTAGACCTAGACCTAGACCTAGACAGACCTAGACCTAGACCTAGACCTAGACCTAGACCTAGACCTAGACCTGGACCTGGACCTGGACCTGGACCTGGACCTGGACCTGGACCTGGACCTGGACCTGGACCTGGACCTGGACCTGGACCTGGACCTGGACCTGGACCTGGACCTGGACCTGGACCTGGACCTGGACCTGGACCTGGACCTGGACCTGGACCTGGACCTGGACCTGGACCTGGACCTGGACCTGGACCTGGACCTGGACCTGGACCTGGACCTGGACCTGGACCTGGACCTGGACCTGGACCTGGACCTGGACCTGGACCTGGACCTGGACCTGGACCTGGACCTGGACCTGGACCTGGACCTAGACCTAGACCTAGACCTAGACCTAGACCTAGACCTAGACCTAGACCTAGACCTAGACCTAGACCTAGACCTAGACCTAGACCTAGACCTAGACCTAGACCTAGACCTAGACCTAGACCTAGACCTAGACCTAGACCTAGACCTAGACCTAGACCTAGACCTAGACCTAGACCTAGACCTAGACCTAGACCTAGACCTAGACCTAGACCTAGACCTAGACCTAGACCTAGACCTAGACCTAGACCTAGACCTAGACCTAGACCTAGACCTAGACCTAGACCTAGACCTAGACCTAGACCTAGACCTAGACCTAGACCTAGACCTAGACCTAGACCTAGACCTAGACCTAGACCTAGACCTAGACCTAGACCTAGACCTAGACCTAGACCTAGACCTAGACCTAGACCTAGACCTAGACCTAGACCTAGACCTAGACCTAGACCTAGACCTAGACCTAGACCTAGACCTAGACCTAGACCTAGACCTAGACCTACCTAGACCTAGACCTAGACCTAGAGACCTATAGACCTGGACCTGGATCTGGACCTGGACCTGGACCTGGACCTGGACCTCGACCTGGACCTGGACCTGGACCTGGACCTGGACCTGGACCTGGACCTGGACCTGGACCTGGACCTGGACCTGGACCTGGACCTGGACCTGGACCTGGACCTGGACCTGGACCTGGACCTGGACCTGGACCTGGACCTGGACCTGGACCTGGACCTGGACCTGGACCTGGACCTGGACCTGGACCTGGACCTGGACCTGGACCTGGACCTGGACCTGGACCTGGACCTGGACCTGGACCTGGACCTGGACCTGGACCTGGACCTGGACCTGGACCTGGACCTGGACCTGGACCTGGACCTGGACCTGGACCTGGACCTGGACCTGGACCTGGACCTGGACCTGGACCTGGACCTGGACCTGGACCTGGACCTGGACCTGGACCTGGACCTGGACCTGGACCTGGACCTGGACCTGGACCTGGACCTGGACCTAGACCTAGACCTAGACCTAGACCTAGACCTAGACCTAGACCTAGACCTAGACCTAGACCTAGACCTAGACCTAGACCTAGACCTAGACCTAGACCTAGACCTAGACCTAGACCTAGACCTAGACCTAGACCTAGACCTAGACCTAGACCAAGACCAAGACCTAGGCGGAGCGTACACAAAACTAATGGCTGCATCCTCCATTTCTAGAATATGAAGAAACGAAATAATATGAAGAAACGAAATAATTCATTCAAATTTGATTTCGATCTAGAATTTATCAAGAAGTACGCTTTGAAATGTATATTATTTTCTCGGCCAAAACAACATAAATACCATTGAACAGCTGGATTTTTAACAGTCATTTAAATAATTTAATCAGTGTGTGCATTTAACATGGTGTTGTGTTCACTAATAGTGTATATAATTTTGTTTATCAAATAACTATTGGAATCCAATGTTATTTTAAATGTGTCGGATTTTTAGCAATTTAGTGATTTATTTTCTTTTTCATTAATATTGTTCGCCGTGTAATAAAGCAAATTGCGTTTTGACCAATAACTATTTTATAAAATATTTTTCTCAAACAAGTGTAATATTAAAATATATAGGCCTATAATTCACGTGTAACGGGTACCGACGGCTAGTAGTGAGACAAACGTTCTCACTAAATGCATTCGTGTTCTCTCTTTGGTCATATGAAAAACAGTTTATTTTGCATCAAGTTTTAAAATAACAGTAATACCAACCGTCAGTCTCCTTGACGATAAGGCAATAAATGAGGGCTAGGGCTGATAACAGGAGATGACGACATCTTCCCATCGTAGTGGCGATGTTGATCAACGCCTGTCGTTTAAAACATTCAACAACATAGTAAATGGTAGCAGATTATCCAAAACATGAAACGTCCATCTAAATTAAGGTTCATTACGCAAACTTAGCTTGAGTTCTATGTTTTTAGTAACGGAATGAGTACAGTGTTTCTTCCAGACACTTTTCACCGGAAGGGGGGGGGGGTACTTTATCCGGGGGTGTTGGAGGACACTGGTTATCTAAAAAAATTCCATTTCGTTCGAGGGAAGGGGGGGGGGGGGGCGGTAGACTTTCTTCGGGGGGTAAGGGCTCCAGATGACTGAATGAAACTTTGAATGAGAATTGGTTTTCCAGTTAGGACAATGTTCCTTTTCCCTTGGAAAATTGCCAGGTTTCGATGAGAATCAAGTGAACTCATTGTCGTTTTACAAGCTAGAGTGTCGAATCCAATTCGAGACAATCATTAGGGTTATTAGGTATTCATCTACTTTTTAAATCAAATTAAAAATAATAATCAACGACATGTTGAATTATTTTGATCACTTACCTTTAAATGTTTTGTCTTTAAAGTATACTGCAGTATCGATGTTTTAACTCATTTTTCTTCCACAAGTAGCCCTAATGTAAAACAAAACTAAAAAACTAAGACTTATATAGCAAGAATGGTTCGAAGGGATGTTGTTGGATCATATTTGAAGGACTCAAGCGTGGCTACCAATCAAATTTTAACAGGAGCGCAATCAGGAACTATGAAGGTTGTCGGCCAAGGTTCTGTTTTTGACAGTGTCACGGGACTGAGCTGGTTAAAAGACCAAGGACACAACTTCCCCCATTAGCCTGAAACAAATTGATCAAAGTGTCTTTTGTTCAGAAGTTAACTAGAGCATGACCTCTTAGCTAAGCAAAAATACAAAGGATACACGTATGCAATGTTGTAATTGTATTGAGTGTAATACAAAAATACGTTGGCTTCATTTCTTAGGAAAATGGGGAAGTGAAATATTGAGTAGCAATAAGTGGTCGCGTGTAGAGCCTATGGCAGCTATCTCGGTTTGGATTTGTGAATGTAGGACGGCCCTTTGTCCACCAAGCTCTAATAAGTACCTGACTAACATTGGGGAAAGTAAAGACGATTGGGCATAGCGCTGACCACACCATCTCTTTATATGTCGAGGTCAAGAAAAATGTGAACTCTATTTCATCTGCCCAACATAACGTGACGTCTAAAGACGAACTCTTTAAATAAATTAGTGTCCCTGCTTTCTTGAGAATTCCAAAATGCGTTTAAAAAAAACATTTCGGGCATGTTGATGCAATTTATTTCTACATCTTTTTATAATTTTTTTTAAAATTTACAATAAATGTGTATAAAGAATCGTTTTAAATAATTGTTATATATTTACAATTACATTTTCAAAAACAATAAATAACGCCAAAGAATCGCTTTAATATGCCTGCCAGTTTAAAATGTGTCTTTATCTCCGCCTGGGCACTTTGTCCATCTCAACGATAAAATATTTGATAGCGATAAGACGTTAGATATTACGAAATTAAGTGAAATAAAGTGTGCTAACACTATTAAATGTGCTCCGTCATAATTTATTTATTTCAAATTATTTTTAAAATTACAAAATTTCCAACTAGTTTAAGTCGTTTAAGAAAACTCTACAAAATACAGAATTTGATATTTGGCCAAATGATTTAATCAATTGTTGCTTTTTAGTTTGAAATTCGATCTTCGGGAAAAAGCAGTCACGCGCGGCAAGAGCGCCCTGATTATGGCTAGTGATTAACAAGACTGTTAAAAAAAAATAATTGATTATATTACACATATGGATTTTAGTTAGGAAGATATAAAATCTTTTTAAAGTGCCAGAACCATTGTAAACACATTTAACGTTTCTTTCAGGCATTTTTCTTCAGGGGGGTGCACTTCAAATTTTCAGTGGGGGCTGGGCGAACAAAATTTTCCGGGGATAGACGCTGGTAAAAATTATTATTTTCTTTATAAATTATATTTCGTTCAGTGGGGGGGGGGGGGGGATCGAAAAAAAAAACTCTGTACGTGTACGTGTAAGTGTACGTGTACTGGTACGTGTACGTATACGTGTGCGTGTGCGTGTGCGTATGCGTATGCGTGTGCGTGTGCGTGTACGTGTACGTGTACGTGTACGTGTACGTGTACGTGTACGTGTGTGTGTACTTGTGCTTGTGTTTGTACAGGTACGTGTTCATGTGCTAATGGACTTAGGTGTAGGCCGAGTACAGGCCAATACCCTAAGGGTAAGCCAATTCTTATTGTATAGGCCAATACCCTAAAGGCAGCGTATATGCCAATACCCTAATGGTAAGCCAATTCTTATTGTATAGGCCAATACCCTAATGGTAAGCCAATTTTTAAAGCTATAATAAAACAAACTTATCGATCGTTGTTCTGAATTGCTGGAGTGCATCGTGACAAATGTTCTACGTCTTACCCGCTGTAATTAGAGCTAACTGAATCGATCTCATTAATCTACACGAGGCTAATCAAAAGATTCGTTCCGATAACGTAACATTTATGTCGTTCACATTCCTGGGATCGAGCCAGGGAGATTTAGTGGAGTGAATCGGAAACATCGGGGTAGATTTTGTTCTTTTGATGATGGTATTTCTGGGGAACTAGTTCTTTTGATGATGGCATTTCTAGGGAACTAATTCTTTTGATTATGGTATTTCTAGGGAACTAGTTATTTTGATGGTTGTATTTCCATGGAATTAGTTATTTTGATGATGGTATTTCCCCTGTACTAGTTCTTTGAATGGTGGTATTTCTAGGGAACTAGTTCTTTTCATGGTGGGATTTCCAGGGAAACTATTTCTTTTGATGGTGGTTTTTCAAGGGAACTAGTTCTTTTGATGGCGGTATTTTCAGGGAACTTTTTCTTTAGATGGTGGTATTTCAGGGGAAGTAGTTCTTTTGATGGTGGTGTTTCTAGGTAACTAGAAAAAAATCATGTCAACTTATAGGTCTATATCCAAGGTTTATTAATAGTTCAGAAATGTAGAGGTTTAAAAGGGAAAGGCGTGGTTGAGTCGTTAAAGCCCTTGGTTGCTAAACCAAAAAGTCATGAGTTCGAACCCTCCAAATTCAAGCAACTACTGCCTCATAGTTTGTTCTTGGTTGGACAAAGGCTATGGTAGCAAAGCTGAAATCGGAGTCAACAGCCTCAATTGTGCATAACAAGTTGACATGTATACTTAATTATGTTGGAGGGAATCCCTTCTAATACTAAAATTATTAAAAAGAAAAAAAAAAACATAAAAGTAAGCAAAATCATAGCACAAAAATCGAAAACCAGCGCCGACCTGAGATCTACAACATTAGTCTGCAAGTTTTGAGTCCGATTTCGGTCCAGTCTTGAGTCTATAGGGCGTCCCTTAGTCAATCCAGCTTTGATAAGTACCTGACGTACGTTGGGGAAAATAAAGGGCATTATGCAAACCACAACATCGCTTCATGAAACAGGTCATGAACGATGTCAAGAAACATACGAACTCTACATTATCTATGTATTGTATAGAAGGCAAAAGTTACCCACCGTGACTACGCCTCTGCTTATCCGCCTCACGAAGCGGAGCTAACAATTATTTCCTTAGGAAGAACATCGAAATATAACACAAAAAAAGGCCTCTAAAGCTGATCGAAGTCTTCTTTATTTAGATCTAGGGGTAAAGGACAATGTCATTGTTTATTACTTCTAGGGCTATACTAGTTTTACATAAAAGCTGCTTAAACGAAACGAAGCATACGTCAATTAAATATGTCCAATACAGGGTAACATAAAACATGTATTATAAAGGTGGTAAAGTACTTCAATACATCTTTTTCATACAAATGGTAACACAACACACTTAGAGTTGTATAAGTACAAGTAGATTTTATAAACACAGAAGTAATATAAGAATATAAGAAGTAAGATAAGAAAAAAATATAAAAATTATATATATATATATATATATATATATATATATATATATATATATATATATATATATATATATATATATATATATGTTTATATTTATATTTATATATATATATATATATATATATATATATATATATATATATATATATATATATATATATATATATATATATATATATGAGGTGGTAATCTCTTGCTAAGGTAGCATACTGTTCGTTGAAAGGGAGATCATTGGGTTTTTACGAACTGATTACTTAGAAACAATTAGTTAATTAAAATTTAAGAAACAAACTTTATCATATAGTTCTTGTTACAAAAGACCTAAATATTTATAAAGCTACCTTGATACCGTCTTTGTTCCATCTTCTCTAAATTCTGATAAGCATTTTATTAATTTCAGAATGGTATGAGATGTTTTTCAACCAACTATATTTATCAAGGGCGATTATACACTGGGTAGTTCTCCCATCGAAAAAAAGTGGAGTTATCAAACATTTGTCGTTATTCGAAGGCCTCTATTTCTCCTCTGTTAAAATAAATTAATTAATTTATGAAATTTAAAAAAAAAAGTGTTCATTACCAATTAAATTAAATTTTATAAATTACTAATTATCTATCCTCCCATCTAATAGGTATGTAACTGATTTTAATAGCTATTTGCACTATAAGTAATCATGATTTGTGTCCCCGTAAGACGTCAAAGAACTATACAATAAAACCAAAAAAAACCTTAATAGCAACAAGAATTTTAATGCACTGAAAATAAAAAAAAAACTAATTTGCTTTCTTTTATAAAAGCTTTGGTGGTTCAGGAGATCTTTTAAATATTTTAGCGACCAAAGCTTTTATGAAAGAAAATAGATTAATTTTATTTTCTTATTTTCAGTGCATTTAAAAGCTTGTTGCTTTTAAGTTTTTTTTAATATTTGTTTTATTACAACATTTTATTTAGTTCGCAACATCTGTTTGTTTGTGGGTTTGTGACAAATTTTGTGACTCAATTTTATATCCACTTCTAATGCAGCGATTGCGTTCAAACTTTCCAGACACGAACCAGTTTGATGACAATACAATGCTATCAATTTTTTTTTTAATTTAATTAGACGCTTAATTAGTTATAAAAGTCAATTAAACGGTTTCGAAACTAAGGGGAGATAACAAAGTTAAATCACTCGATATATTACTATTCAATAACAGAATGAAAGATAACTTGTTAGACGCAATCTCCCTAACAGTCCGGTGAGCTGTGATTCACGAGAGTGTTTTACAATCGTAGAGCCGGTCGATCTTGTGAAGGCTATAGTGGGGCAGATAGTAAAGTTTTCAAACGGAGTGAAACTAAGGGGAGGTAGTAAGTATAAGACCTATCCCAGTGGCGTAGAGCGAGGTCGGGTATCACCCGGTGCGGCACTTAATGGTGTCACCCCCCAGAGGCGTAGCGACCCTTCGCGGGGACAAATTTTCGATTTGCACCCCCCCCTCAAACTTTCGATTTGCACCCCACTCCCCTCAAGTTTTTCTCTATTTATTTTGCTATTTTTTGCCTTGGTGTCACCCCCCCCCCCCATAAATGGTGTCATCCGGTGAGGTCCGCACCCCCCCCCCCCGCACCCCCCCCCCCTCCCCTCGCTA